GTGTACATTGTAAACGAAATTAAACTTTATCGTCTTTGAGAACTGTGCAGGTCCTTTTTTCGCCGAGGGTGATTACCCACTTAAATCATAATTAATAAAAACCAGGTCTGTCCATCCGGCCGATTGTTTACAAATATGTTGTCACAATCAGTGATCATCTGACGCATCCATAGTTGTCGGTACACACTACAAAAGTGCGTCTGTTGTAATGTGCACCTTCTCTACTCATCTTTTGATAATTTTATATAACATAATATTTTGTGTGTGTGAAATTGTACGTTTTATTGATTTTCATGATTCACAAACAAAGAAATCACAAGCAATTATTTGAAAATTTGATTTAAAAAAAGAAGAAGAGAAAACAAATGAAAAAATATCGTACAACGTGTAGGATAAAGGTATATAAATATATTAAGTACAACATCTATACAACCATGCAAGACACCTAATTTATATCAAATTGAATTGTATACCAATCGCTTTGATATATTTCGTGAAGGGCAGGGGGTAGCGGTGTTCGTATCTTGGCCCTAAATTAATCAAATTTCCAGTCTTAAAATAGTGAGCGGATGAACAAAAACGTTTCTTATGGTAACAGCCACTTTCTTTTTATCGTTTTATGCAGCTTTATTTATTTGAAGTAGGCTGTATTACATGATAGGTTTTGAAAATCAACATTAGTAACTAGTTGCAGTTGTCAGAGTAGCCTCTTGTCGATGCCCTCGCGCTGTTGGAGTCTCTAAATTCTGACGAGCGAAGCGAGTCAGAGAAACCGAGGCGCTTGCGCAAGCGCCTCGGTTTCTCTGACTCGCTTCGCTCGTCAGAATTTAGAGACTCCAACAGCGCGAGGGCATCGACAAGAGGCTATTGTCAGAGGCGACGGTTGCTTGAATATTGGACAAAGACAGATTGATTAAATTCTCTTCTATCACTAAGTTAATCATTCTGTCAACCGATCTATCAATCAATCAATCAATCTATATCTATCTATCTATATATCTATCTTTCAAACAATCAATCTATCAATCAATCAATCAATCAGTCGATGAATCAATCAACCAACCGATCAATCGATTAACCAAACAACAAGTTCGTAAATAAATAAATCACCATCGCTCAATCTATCTATCTCTCTATCTACCAATCGTTTGATCACTCAATCAAACGTATTATCATCATCCAGATACTCACTGTACCCTATCATGTCAGTGGCGGATCCAGGGGGGCACAGGGGGTACCTGCCCCCTGCCCCCCCCAAAAAAAAATTATGTTAAAATCAGCCCCAAATTCACTCCCCCCCCCCCCCCCCCCCCCCATGAGCGAATTTGCGACCGGCGCGATTTTCAAATATTTGGGAGCATTTTTTTGTTTTAATGTGCTTTTGACCACCCCCCCCCCCCCCCCCCCCCGCTTATTCAGCGGCTGGCTGAGTCGTTGCGATTTTTTTTGGGACCAATATATATGTCCTCTTACCCCCCATGTGCCCCCCGTGAAGAAATTCTTGGATCCGCCCCTGCATGTGTATGACTTTGTAATGAAGCAAAACTATTCATATAACAAGTGATAAGCATTGCAAAACCTTGCCAGTTCTGGACTAAACATGTTTTGTCATTTCACCAGGTGTGGAAAAACCGACATAACAGGAAAGCATCATCTGGATGTGTAGGTCATGGTCTAAGAATAAGACTGGCCTGGTCCAATAACCCTGGGACCTACTTTCAGAACGTGAAAGTAAAGACAGATATGTCAGTTTGGAAAAAGGGAAAGTTGAAATAGATACACTGTTGAAATAAAGTTAGAAATTTTGTTTTCGTACCTCTTTCCATGAATTGTGACAAAATGATTTATTCTTGATACAATTATAAAGTTTATATACTTTCAGAACTTTATTTATCAAACTTTATTCATTAATTTTTATCCTTTATTGATCAGTAAAATTCTCATAATCATCTCATGAAAAGATGTGGACAAAAATGTTCAAATTTTATACGCAACGGTTTATTACTCATCCACATTGAAGGAATTCAGAGCTGGTGGACTTCTTAAATAGAAACAAGCCTTACCTCCTCTATATCTAAATAATAACATTTATTAGTATGGACCATAGTGGCGTAGCCGGCAAGGTGGAGGCGGCGTACCCCCCCCCCCCCCCACCTTGTTTGAAGGCTCATACATCACAACCGTACGGGGCCGCTAAGAGTACGATAATAGCAGTAATAAGTAATAATAATTGATGATAACTGTATCTTATTTACCTATAGGGTAACCACATCAGTCACACTGTTATTCCTGCAGGCCCTGCAATTGTTATTACCCCCAGCATTGACTGGGGCCATTTACACACCCAGGTGGAGTGTGGCAAAATGTAGATTAACGTCGTAATGCCAAAAACACGTTAATGCCGGGCTTGGATTTGAACCCTCAACCCTTTGATTAAGAGTCAAGTGAATGAACCACTATATGCTCCACGATACCTCCATACACTCTACCTCCCCCATTGAGGTGGACTCCCCTCCCTACCCCGTTTAACTATTTCTGGATATGCTACTGGATCACATGACAAACATCAAATTTTGAATTAAAACTTTGTTAATTCGAATGCATTTAATATTTTAACAGTGATGTTTTTTGTGTTTAAAAAAAAAATCTATGTGAAAGATGTTTTTTCTCCCTAAATGCACGGGGACAGTCAAAAAGGTTTCCCCACCGCTATGATTTTTCGCTCAATATAATGTTGACATGATTTGTCAGGACAGGTTAAAAAAACAGACATACCTTCCTCAATACAAGTCATGTATCACACTAAACCTAAAAATATTCGTATGACAAAATTATTGTCCGGCAATATTATATCCAGGGTATGCTGTAAACGGATAAACTCTCTGTAATTATATTTCGAAAGGCAAATGATGGTCATTGGCAAATCTTCCCTGGCGAACAAACTTTTGAGCAGGATATTGCGAGTTTACCAGGGATCGAGACACACACACGTGATAACTGTTCAACTCCATCCATAGCATGGAATATCAATATGATTATATCAAACTGCAAAATTCATATCGACAACCTGTATCTATCTCAATTTCTATATATCATGTTGGGGCCTATCTCATTTTCGACGAACAGCTATTATCCATACATAATATATTAAATGTATTTACATAAATGTATATTAATTTGTATTGATATTACCTTTATCTATTTACTGATCGATCTGTAATTTATCCATATCTGTCAGCCTATCTTCTTTCTAGCTGCCTATCTTTCTATCTACCTATCTATCTACTGCTATTCATTATCTATCTATCTAAATCAAGGAGTTTTATCTCCTTGTCTAAATGGGAATAAATCTTCTGTTTTGTAACTATTCATCTATATAATCTACTAGTCTGTCTATCTATCTAGTTATTATATCTGTTTATGTAGCCGCCTGCCTGTTTGGATGGTACCCCCCCCACTCTCTCTCTCTCTCTCTCTCTCTCTCTTTCTCTGTGTCTACATAATAGGTGTATTATAGTGGATATGTCTCCGGACTGTGCGTGGCAAGGTACAGGGTTCGAATCCCTGGCGCAGTACTTTTCAACGTTCCTTGGCAATACATTTGCCAGACTCGACCTATGTGTATAAGTGGGCTGGTAGAAGGATGTTTCCCTTGAATGTACTGAACACCATGGTTGCTGGAGCAAAATCAAGTCCTTTTTGGAAGCGCATGCATTTCATTGAGAATATACATCATTCGCAGTGTGATATAATATACAAGAATTTAATATTGGTAATATAATAAGCTTTTGCAAAGTTATTTTCATTTAGAAGGGACATAACTTAATAACAGGTCCCTGTTACTGTGGCTCTGCCAAGTTTGTATACATAAATGAACCAAGCTATTGTTATAATTCTCTTTCTTGTTTCCACTCAAATGTCCTTTTTTATGTTTACTCTCGAAACAAAACAGGGTTGAGTGCCTGAACTTGATAGTTTATTCACCCACAATGGAACATCCCAGGGGGAGAAAGAGAAGCATGATAGAGAGAGAGAGAGAGAGAGAGAGAGAGAGAGAGAGAGAGAGAGAGAGAGAGAGAGGGTGGGGTGGAGAGATGAGGGGGAACAAAGGAATTGTATCAAGCCAGTCTGGACAACCGTGATCATGTGTAAGCCTAGTTCATTTTCCCCAGCTATCATCTTAAGTTATGTATCAATTCTGGTACACTTCTTTCGGTACACACTTGTTAAAGAAAACAAATAATTAAATTATCTAGCTATCATTGAAATATATTACATTTCTGGTTCGATATCTAGAGCAAACCCGAAAACATACAACAAAATGGCATCTGACATAATGAATTTACTCTTGATATATTCTAGTGTTGCTACATATAATATGTCATAGTGGCAGTGAGATAATCACTCAGTCAAGCCCACTGATTCCGTGACGCAAACAAAAGTCCACCAACATGTAGGCTACTTTGGAACATTTCTTCGAAAATATAAGCTATAGAAAATCCTAAATCTGTTTTTCGGGAGCTACTTATTCCCAGTTCTTGGTAGAGAAGAGAAGATGTGTATTATCAACTTACGTAACACTTGGCATAATATCGATATCACTACAGCCGTGTAAATAATGAAAATCGTGGAACTGGTTTTAATTCTCAAGCATTTCGTTGGAAGTCACGACTATTTTCCCTTTTCGGGGTTACAACACAAGTCATAATCAATAAACATAAATCTCTCATAATAAAAGTACCAATATTTTCACTTTGACCCATTGTTTTATAAGCCACTGTTCAACGATGCCTGAGTGAACCACATCTGTGATGCATGGTACGAAAAATTATTGTAAGCACGTACATGTGCATTAGCTATTCTATTCGGTCACCAACAAACCATTTCCAGAGGGGTGCTCGTCGTTGTTTGGAACAGCCTGTCAAGCTGCTCTCCGACAGCCAACCCGCGCTCTCCGTTCTCCCCGCACTTCATTGGTGCAAAAGTTAGCTATAAATTGGTGCTGTTGTTGCATCTTGATTTAATAATTGGAAGCTCTTCAGCCAGGAGAAGAGCATCTATATCTTTGGAGTTCCATTGGGATAATTCTACCCATTACTGGGACCAATTATGGATTTCAAAACGTTGTTAGTCCTCGCTTGCGTAGCGGCTGGATCTCTAGCTGGTATGTTCCAATTTTGCTTTTTAAAACATTGTTGTTCGCCATATATGTTCTTTCTTCATTATTTCACTATGCTACTCCTCATCAGCTCATCTAGTATTTGATAGAAATATTACATACATCCTTTGCTTCTCATAATCTTGGACAAATATTTTTCTGACGATGTTTAAAAATCTTCGAGATGAATTTCTTGCATATTGAGCATTGACAAGTCATCTTGTTTTTATAAAATCGCATCTGACGCCATGTTATATATTCATTTTCACTTAGCTTATATCCATCCATGGCATATGTCGGGATATGCGAATTATATTTGTTTGTGTTTGACATAATTATTATACGCTATAAATAATGGCCTACTGACATGAAGGATAACAATTATTGAATGTGAGATAGAGATAGAGAGAGAGAGAGAGAGAGAGAGAGAGAGAGAGAGAGATTGAGATTGAGAAGGAGAAGGAGAAGATATAGGTACAAAAGAGATGGAGAGATGACATAACCACAACTCGCAGCTAGCTGGTGTCGTCCTAAACGTGACAATTCTTTTTTAGCATGTTATTGATTGAACGAAATCTTCAACTTGGTTCTTCATGGTTCGCTTGATCAGTTGATTGGTGCTTCAACTGCCTGATTGATTGATTGATGTTTAACAACAGATAATCGATTTTACGAACTAATTAATCCCAAAGACTCAAGTGGATTAAGTTCTTTTTTAGAATTAGATATTGACGGACGGGTCTACTTCTCATGCCCTCCTCCAATGTGTTACCTTTTGTTTCGAAAAGTTTTCTCGCGTTTGCAGAGTTCATTTAGTAAAAACAACCCAACATTATTATTTAATGACATTGCTTTTGTTCTGTGAGCCCTGTGTAACTACATTTTAAGTTAATATTAAACCTCTTCTGATACTGCCATTCATTAGACAAGACATAATAGACCGGTTTACTGACATAATAATATACCTTTTATACCAACTGTTTCGTGTCTCTTTTCAAAAATACATGCACAGTGAATTTTAGCCCCACTGTCCTACCTGTAGCTACTTCCTCCCTCTATATGGAAAACTTCCCCAATCGGTGCCTGTTGATCCCCCATGATCCTCTTTTTCTTATAAATGTTATTTGAGAGCTGAGTTAATGAGATAGCCACCTGTCAGTGACCTTGCTGGGTGGTCTAATCCCTTTTGGCCCAGTAGTATTGACGGTCTTTAAGCGATGGCTCAGTACAAAATAACGAACTTGGATTGTCTCTTCAATCTCCACTTTTGTCCTTGCAACTTCAAATTCAAGTACTCCATCTCCATAAAATTGTGAACGCCCTTAGATTTATGATGCCAAGGTCCTTTTACTTTTAGCTCTGGTGCAATATTTCAACTTTCAAAACAAGTTCGCAGCTGCTTTTAAAACTCAAGCCCTGCCCATCACTATACATTACAAGTACTCATTACGTAATCGGAACCCCTGAAATTTTCCTTGTTGATTTTTTTTCGAAAGTCCTTGTGATTTCGAAACAACAAGGAAATCCAACAAGATTGAAGGTTTCCTTAGTCCGCGAAGGACAGGAAATTTAAAACGAGGTTTATTTATTGTGGTTGTGTGTTTTTACACTGCTCTTTGAAGAAAGACGTAGAAGATAAGTCAATAACCTTGCATCTAAACATTGCTACGCTTTGTCAGGTAGGTTTATTGACACATTTATTCCAGGGTCCGAGTAGGAACGTTCTTGGAAAGTACTTTTTATTAGCAGCATGTAAACATACTTGTACCGAGTAAAACAGCTGGAGGTTCGGTGAGCTTATGATACGAAGTTGGCTCGTCTCCAAAGCCAAAGCTCCTTTCTCTAACACAAATATAATCACACAACTAATCTGCTTCCTTTCGTATTTTCGTTTTCCAATTCACGAGGTGATGAGGAATAAATATAAATATAAGCTAGGTTTATATTATAACCCCGTCCACGTTTGTGAACCGGATGCTTTCGGTCCTATCGTTTAATTATATATTAAAGAACCTTTTTTTTATTCTTTAAATATTTTCTTTAAGTGTTTAACTTAATTAAACTTATTTTTCTGAAGTATGATGGGAGATGTTGACCTGAAGTGAATTTGTGTGGTTCAAATATTTGTGAACAGCTTTCTTTGTTGAATTTGAAATGAAGAGTAACAAAAGCTCATTGTTAACTGTTCGATTTCATCTGTGTTTATTTGTTATTTTACAGGACCAGTGAGGGAAACGCAATGTGCAGAAGAATGCAATAGTCGAGGTAAGAATACATTCCTTCTTTTTTCTTCGTCAAGATCATTGGTTTTAGATGATCATCTATTAAAACAAAAGTCCTGTAGGTTTGTATCATGAATATACACACTGTACTAGGGTTATGTCAAGTTTTGTGCAGAGTTCGATAATAAGAGAAGTCGGTACGTGAGAGACCAAACTTTCACCAAAGGCCAGAAGAGAACATGAGAAAGAGAGTGAGCAAAAGAGAAGAATAAAGAGATGGAGAGTGCTAGCTTGGGAACAGTGACATTAGAGGTCAGAAGAGAAAATGGAACAACAAGCAGCCATAAAACGTGGCTGCTTGAAGGTAGGGGCCATAAAAGGGTGCATAACATGTAGGTACTCGAGATTTGCATTGATGTGTTTGTGCGTCACGGGTAAAGGGTTTCTCGGTAAAGATAATCACTTTCCTGAAAGGTTGCACGTGTCTACCCAGCTGATCATTGTTTACATCAACTCGCTCTCCTATTGGTCAGATTAGAATAGGTCATGGACCTACAGCCAGTTGTTTGTACCAATTTTGTCGTTCTTTTTATTTACTAGAAAGGTAACTGTTGATGGGAATTTATAAAATCAATTAAATTACCTTAGCAATAAATTTGTTTTTGCATATTAGATGGTTGACATGTATTTACTAGACGATAAATATGAAAATCTGACTGTAAAACTCTGGCTTTCAGTTGTGTATAGTTTCAGTACGTTTGAGAACTTCTACTTAGATCTACATTCAACTGTATTTGGCAGCGCAGCTTTACACTCGGAAATGGCCGTATGTATTTTGAAATCTTGTATAAGTTTTATCTCCTGGTATATTCTGACTAGGAAGACAAAATAATTTCTTTTTTATTCCATGTGGAATAAAGGAAAGTGAAAGTTTTGAAGCTTCAGTCACAAGTTCAGTCCCATTTGATAATTTTGGTGTCTCCCTTTTAATATTTTCATGATGTCCAATGAGTTGAATATTTTTAGAAGTAGATTGAGTGAGACTCGGAATGAGAAAGGTGTCAATTATGTTTGTTTGCTTAGTAAACAGCTGTAATATGCAATACATTGTAAATGTTGGGCATTTGATGAATTAACAATAACAGACACTAAAGAAAACAGAGAAAAAAGGATGAATTATTTTTTATTATGTTTATAAAATAATAAAAAATAATGTGCATGATGGGAATGGAATTAGAGTGCATTTAATTTATGTTCATTGTATGAAATAATATTTGAATCATGTGGATGTTGCTAAAGGGATTCGGTATCTTTGTCTCACTCTCAGATTCTAAACAAAATTCTAGATTTAGCTCATGCTGCAATCACACCTTTTAGGTCATTCAGGATGAATCTCATGACGTTTATACAAGTCGATCGCCCATCTGATTATCAAGATATTTATGATTGCAATTCAAAAACCGTTTTCTCAATGGTCTTTTTAATATGACATTCTATTTGGGAAATGAGTACCTCAGGCCTATATGGTAAAACCGGTCACTCAAAAAAATGTACTTTTTTTGAGGGCACTTCATGATAATTTTGGAGCACAATTCTTTTAGGGCTTCAGTATTACACTGTATCACAGTCGCTGATAACACGTAGGGCCATGCATCTCAGATTTGACATTTTTAAACAATGCCTTTAAGATCGAAGTTGAAGATTTTACTTATACTTACAATTAGGAGACTGGGATTGGTAATTAAATGAGGATAAAAATAATTATGATGTTGATAATGCATGATGAGGGTGAGAATGATGATGCTGGTGGAAAGGAGGATGAGGAAGATGATGGGGTGAGGATGGTGATAAGGAGGAGGAGGAGGATGGAGATGATATGGTGCCGATGAGGATGAGATGATTAATGAGGATGATGGTGGGGGTGATGAAGAGGATGATCTCATAAAGTGAAGCAAAAGTGAAACCAAGAACTGTATCCCTATCAGAGGGAATGGATTATTAAAGCCCTACCATCTCATCCTGCCTCACTTTTTTAAAATACTCGTAATTTTGAAACTGGGACCTCAAGTTATAAGATTACATACGTACCCTAGCCATAGACTTTTTTTATTCAGATGAATTTGAGGAGTACTTATGAAATCTGTGTATAATTTATCTTGGGCAGATGACGAGGGAATGTTCAGAGCTTTCAAGAGCTACTACTTCTCATATGACGTCGAAATTGACAGCAGAATCAGTGGCCCGACCAGTGACCAGTCCTCTACCGTCCGTATTGGGGCTGTAGCTGTCATTGAAGGTCTCTCGGCATGTGACATGGTGCTTAAGGTAAGCAAATTGACGAGCGGTAATGTATCGCTTTAATTAATTTGTTTTTTTCGGGGGGGGGGGGGGGTGGCAAATTAATAATAAAAATAATAATCTTTTAAAGTTCACTAGAATTTTATTAAACCGAAACAGAAATTCTTTTTGCCCCATTGATCGTGAGCCCGACAGCCACTGAGCAGCGCCAGATCGACGTTGCTCTATCCCTTATTGTTGAACGCCAAACAAGGTATCTTTTAACGTCTTTTGGTATGACGCAGCCGGGGTTCGAACCCACGACCTCCCGGTTGTGAGGCGGACGCTCTACTGACTGACCTGACCACTTCAAGAACAAATTCATTGTTTGTCATCCTTAGTATATTTTGAAATCTACACAGATATCCTAAGATAGCAGATAGATAATATAAAAACACATCTTTTTTGCAGTTTGTAGTTGTAAGACTGTTTTTCTTATTACATGTATTTATTTAATTTTGATTTTCATCCACTGTAAGCGCTTTGGGCCTTATGGGAAAAGTGCAGTATAAGTAATAATAATAACAACGCCAAAACACTTGTAGGCTAAACATAAATCATTCTGTGACAATGTTTTATCTCTTTTTTTTTTCTTTTTTTCTCTTTTTTCTCTTTTTTTCTCTGGGAGATCATGCAAGGAAATCAAATTTCATCAAGAATTCATAAGAATTTTTTTTTGATAACTCTCTATAACAGAGCAAATAATTATGTTATGTTTGCTTGCCTCATAATGATGATTTACATTGTTACGTCTCAATACTTCAGCTCAGCGATATCAGCATCCTAGAGAAACGCCAAGATGGCATCATGGTTGCCGCGGAGACCGCCTCCACCTTCTCCCTTGCCCTTGAGGCTCATCCTCTGCGCTTCTCGATGGAGGGCAACGGCACCATCACCTCTGTCTGCCCTGAGGCCGGGGAGGAGATCTGGGCTCTCAACGTGAAGAGGGGCTTCCTCTCTCACATGCAGACCAAGAGAACTACCTCAAACAATGTTCTGGAAGAGGGCGGAGCTTTCGAGGTAAGAATAAATATGGACTGATAGAGAGGGACAGAGAGAGAAAAAGAGAAAGAGAGGTAGAAAGAGAGAGAAAGAGAGATTTTGGATAAAAGGTAGAAGAGGCTAACAATTTTATCAAAGATATGAAAAGAAACCAAAAATCATTCAAGAAAAGCAATTATATAATAAGATTTTTTTGTATACACCTGTAAGCAATGTACATTATAACAAAATTACTCATGATTCAGACTTTTTCTGTCTTGTACTACATCTATGTGTGTTGAATTGCAGCTGATTACATCATCTTTGAAGCCCCCCTGCACTACTTATAGCTACTGGCACCCTCTATATAGCAAACAATGCCTAATCATTGACCATTGGTCCCCGATGATCCTTCTTATGTTACATGAGAGCTGATTTGATGAGATATACTGTCAGTGACCATGCAGGGAGGTCTAATCCCTCCCTCCTGGCCAAACTATTACAGTGGCTTTGAACGTTGTATCAATTTTGTGACCCATCTTCTCCCTCGATCTGGTCTTGTCATTAACAGACTGGTGTGACTGGTACATGCATGCCTGTATACAGTCCTACAGGAGAGATGACCTTCCTCAAGAGTAATGACTTCCTCATGTGCAAACACAGAACCAACCTTAACATGTTTGTGGATGCCATCCCTGTACATCTTCTTGCTGTAAGTATTTCCATATTAACTCAGAACTCTTTTTCAACTTTGAATTCTAAGAAGCAGAGTTCTTGTCTGAAACTTGAATTTGAGTCATCTGCCATCAACTTATAGATTATTGCTTGTTGCCTATCCAACTTTCAGTGGCTATTCAGTTACAATGAATAGCCCAAATGAACCTGAAACGGTAATCAAAACATTTGATCAATCAAGAGTTTTTGGTTGTGAATATTCACTCACAGCAGAAACTTATAGAAGACATATCTACTATGTATCCAATCGTAGTGCCTAACTTTCATTGGCCTTTGGGCTGGGTTAAAAAAAGGGTATTATAACAACTCAGCACTTAGATTTGTGAGACAATATTTGGAAGGGGCCATAATGCAAGGACAGGATTCTGGCCCTGAGATCTGATGGCATTTGAAATTGAATGTATTTGCAATCCTTGACTTAATCAAGATTCAGCTGTTAAAACTTGGCCCTGAGAACTGATGGTATTTTAAATCCTTGAGTTGCAGTCGAGTGCTTTTTCAGAAAAGCGAAAGTCACTGAAACGTCACAGCTCCATAGGTTAATGTAACAATCTTACATTTCTCCTAGCCTACTGCAAGCCCTCTAACCAGCAGGATGGAGTGTGAATACCAGATGGACAGCCAAAGCATCAGCTCTGTAGAATGCCACGAGACACATGCCCTCAGACCTTTCGCTGCGTCAGAATCCCAACCAGAGATCATGGTTCATACATCCATCACCAAGACAGAAGTCAGGTCAACCATCTCATCGTCACTCAGTAAGTTACAAAGAATAATAATAGTACAGTCAAACCTGTCTACAGCGATCGACCCAAGGGAAACACAAACACTGGTCTTTGTAGACAGGTGTTGTAGACAGATTCCTTCAGTACATGTTTCAATGAGAAACCAATTTCAAGGTAAACAAAAAATGTGCTTGTTGTAGACAGGTGGTCACTAACAGGGGAAAAAATACACGGGGGCTCGGGGCGAACTAGCCCCCGAAATGCCCAAAAGAGCCCCTGAAAGTCTTAAAAGAGCCCCCAAATTTTGTATAGAGTTCAATGCAAAACAAATTAAAGAGTGTTATTTTTATGCAAGCAAGCTTGAAAAGTAGCCCCCAAAATTTTAAAGAAATTTTTTCCTGGTCACTAAAGCAGGTTTGACTGTAATACAAATGATACTTTTATAGTGCATAATACTGAAAAACCTCTATGCGCTTTGCAAAAATGATCCTACAGAAAGCAAATAGTTCTACTGTGCAAGAATCCTTAGACTTGTTAAGAAAAGGGAACATTAACATCATAATAGAAAATAAGATGAACTATAGTGGTGAAAATTAGATAATGGGAGGGAATTTCACAGACGAGGAGCAATAGATGATGCCCGGTCTCCATATCCCTTGAGATTTAGACCTGAAGAGTAAGGCCAATGAAAAAATGCATTAGAGCCTCACAAAATCAGACATTCATTTACACCATTCTCCTGTGAACTTGAGTTTTCATCAGACCACCTTATCTTCACTCTCTGTTACCACAGGTAGTGAGTTTGCCCGCAGGACCAGCCTTCTGTACGAGGACCCCATCCAGGTTTCCGAGATCAACAGCGACGATGTCCGAAACACGATCACCCAGATCTGCAACTCCATCGCCAACGGGATCAGTTCCGAGACTCCCGGCCTCTTCGAAACTCTGACCAAGCAGTTTGGAGAACTTGACACCAATAACATGAATACTGTTATCAACAGGCTCTTCAGGATTTGCCCAGAAGTAGAGACAAATGAAGTCATGTAAGTCAAACCCATTGACTTCTGAATTCATTCATTTCCATAGGCTTAATACAGTAGCCACCAGGTTCCTGGAGGCATCCGGTTAACAGATTTCTGCCTCATGTCATATGTATGTCTTTGAGAGACTTGGTAATTGAACTTGGAAGTCATTCTAGCATTCTCCTGTGTTTGTATGTAATTTATTGTATTTTATCATCTGATATTTGTTCTGGTATTTACTAGAGTGAGTTCTATTTAGTCTCTGGGTATGGTTCGTATATTGTTGTGTGTGTAGATTGATAACATGTATTAGTTGAACATACTGTTTTATGTTCTAAAAAGGCAATGAGTTGTCTTTGATACACATACATGCGAGTCAGATTCAATCTTTATTTTATCATTCCAATTCACATCATATGGTTGTATAGTGGTGTTGTGGTTTGGTGGATAGCTATGCTTAAGCCATGGTAAATACATTGGAGCACCAGGCGTGGCAGTGTCAGACATGAGCAATTTCCAAGAACCCACTTTTACTATTATTATTATTATCATTATTATCATCATTATTATTTGTATCCCTTCAGTAAAATGGTGAAGGATGCTCTGACTGATTGCGACACGGAGCAGTGTGCTCAGGGATTCCATTCCATCATCGCATCTGAGAACTCGGTTGAAAACGAATTCTACCTCAGGAAGTGGTTCATGAAGCTTGTCTTCCACAAGAACCCTACCAAGAACATGATCAACCTCGTCAAGGTAATTATCAAAGAGTAGCTTTTGCATTTGACTGTAAGACACTTGCTCATGTGACGATTGCTCCATTTCAGAGACCTACGCTAACCCATTCAGCTCTGGACCAACTCTAAACATAATCCCTAAACCTAAACTTAGCATAAAATCTAATTGCAATCCTAATTCTTACTGTATAACCTTGATAGATTTGTCACCAAAGCAAAGGTTGGATCACCCGTCACTGATTACAGCTTGAAAATATATTTGCTACTTTCATGAATCCAATGTTTTTCCAAACAAATCATTCACAGGTCCTTCTGACCTCGTACTTTCAGACTTCGAAACACCTTTTAAAAACCCATGTAAAAGTTACCGAACACGACACGTCTGTCATTATCATTCTTTGTTTCAGTGCTATATAAATGGAGTCCAGGAAGTATGATTACACCTCGAAAACAGTTTCTATTTTTCATGAATTTAATGGTTCTCAAAACAAATTATTCACAGGTTTCCCAGACCTTGATCCTTTTTTGTGAATTTAATGGTTCTCGAAACAAACAATGTACATTCAGCCTTTAAAAAAACCCACATTTTAACCCGTGTAAAAGTTACCGGAACATGACACATCTGTTTTACCATCGTTTGTTTCAGCGCTATGTGGGTGGAAACCAGGAAATGAACCTGCCAGCTTATTACGCCCTCTCCTCCATGATCCACCAATACTGTCGCATGTCAGAGGATGACTGCTCCAGGGATGCAGACATCTTGAGCGCTGCCATCGTCTTTGAAGATAACCTCCATGATTCCTGCCTACCAGAGAGTGAAGAGGATGAGAAGAAGGTAGGTGGATATCATGTTCATATGTAGTATGTAACTGTACCTCTAGGGGGCATTTTCCAATCTAACCTGTCGCTTTCATTCAAAGATGGATCTAGATATTTGAGCTGTATTATCATAACCATATCTGCAGTTCTTTGACCAAAAATATGTGTTTGTTGATTGAACACAATTGATGACTTTTTAAAAGTTGGTCTGATTTCAACATACATAACTCTCTTCATATAAAAGAGGATTTGTATTTCCTCCTATTTTAAGTCATTCACAGATCGTGACTTAAATATGTTATGATAAACTGTCAGGATGTTGATTTCAACCTTTTTGTGAAACTGATAATCTAGTGTCCTAATCTTTTCTGCCCTCATGGATCAAAATGTTACAACGTCTCAGAAAACCGTTCTTTCACTGGCAGTTTGTTGTATCCATCGGAACCCAGTTGTAACTGATCATATAAATTGGCTTTTGGATCCCATTGTAATGTTACTGGGCTGACATAATGTTTTCTCGATCACAACCTACATGTACGCTGTCATATCATTGATGATTAGATCCTGATGTCTGTGAGGGCCATCGGTAACATGGGTCTCATCCAGAGCAAGAGTCTTCTCAACAAATGCAACAGGGACCAGAACCCCGGCCTGCTCCGTGTGGCTGCAATCCAAGCCTACCGAAGAGCATCGTGCAATGATGTCCCTGTAAGCAATATTTGTTTTATTTCTCAGTGGCTCAGTCATACTGTCAAACGAACTCCACACCGTCTGAATATTGGCCATTCGCTTTTTTTTTTGGGGGGGGGGGGGGGGTCTTTTTTCTGTCTTATGTTAGTCTCAGTAGTGTGACTGAGTTATGAGGTACCATCCCCTATTAACCCAATCTACATTCTATGTGTATCCTTAGAAATTAAGTTTTGAAAAGATCAAATTTTGTTTGTTTGAACAAATTTAACTATTTACTTGTTTCTGGGTAAGGACAGCAAATTTACCAGTAATGATTTGTCAAAACATATATTACATCATTGATATTCTTCCATTTGCTATCTTAGGACGAAAGGAACTAAACATAAAATCTGATTTCAATGATTCTCCCTTGAACCTTGAATAAATTCTCTCCCACTATTGAAGAGGATCTAGCTTTTGCCTTGATAGTCTTATTGAATAGATAAAGTCTTTATGCATCCCTCAAGTTGCAACAATACGTAGAAAGTAGGTTTCTTGTTGACTTGATGGTTCTCTCTTTTCACCATCAGACTGATCGATACATGCGTATCTTCAGCACCATCGATAACGATAGTGAGCTGAGGATTGCTGCCTACCGTGCCATCATCAGGTGCCCCTCTGAGACACTCCTGCAGGGCATTGCTAACACCATGGCTGTTGAACCAACCAACCAAGGTAGGCTGACCTGAAGATCATGGACACCCTGGGCCCCATTTCACAAAACTTGTCATCAGTGACAAATTACAGTTTTTGTTATAAGCTACTGAGATCCTTGCTTCTGATTGGTTATCAGCAGATTTGTCACTGATTGTTTTCATTTGTCATTGGAAAAAGACTTTGTGAAACGGGTCCCTGTGCTTTTGTAGATGGTGTCAGGAGTGGGATCGATGCCATTGCAACTGATAGGGATGCAACAAGTTTGTTCCTTATAATGTATCAGATGAGATATTTATCTGAATGATCCAAGCTGTATTTTGGTATGGACATGTGGAATAGGACAATTCCCCAGATTTCATCATGTTATGAACACCCCCCCCCCCCCTCCTTTGATAGATAATATGCTATTTTGAAAGAGAACAAAAGACAACAATAAATTATTAAGGATTTGATGATTTCCTAAATTCTTATATAAATATTTATGTAGGTGCTATGCAATTTTTGAATAACTGGAATGTACATGTACATGTAGTGCTAATCAAATGAAAGGAATTCAGTGTTATCCGTAACAACTTTAACCCACATGGTGTTAACTTTAATGTGGTAGGTTATTCCCAATTTTGACAGTGCTTCTTGCTGGTATGTGCAATGAGTTAGTTTAGAATCAATCAAATATTTTACATTTATAAAATTTAGTTTTGAATTTGTAAATATAGCTACGGTATTCAATATCTAAGATTGGTTGTCAAAAGTATTTCATCTTTTTTCATCATGTTACTGATATCCTCAAGACATCCTGCCATCGTAAGGTCAATCTTAAACTGTTCTTATTGTCTTCCATCTTCCAGTGACCTGCTATGTATCCAGTCATCTTGCCAACCTCAGGAATTCCCAGGACCCCATGGTGGTTGACCTCCAGACTGCTATCAGCCAGAGTCCCCTTGCCAACGTCACCAAGTGTGGCATGGACTACAGGAAGTTCTCTCACAACTATGGTCTTTCTTATTTTGATGGTGAGTTTCACTAAACCCATTTATTTGATCGAGAGGATTGTAGTACGTACATTACTTGAAGTTGCAAATGAATTGTGCTGACATGTGCTTTTAAATGATCTCTGTCTCTGTTTTTTGTTTCACAAGTGCGCCTTGAGCATTTGATGTCAAGTGGATTTGGCACCTTACAAATCTCATATACTTAAATTCTTCTTCTGATTATTATTAATATAAAACTTGTTCTTTTTGTTTTATCTATAGACGAGTCTGGCAATGGAATCCACTTCGACAGTGATGTAGTCTTCTCCTCACAGTCTTATCTCCCAAGGAGTGCCCGTCTAGCCATGAATGTGGATCTCTTTGGTTATGGATTTGATCTCTTTGAGGTGTGTGATACTTCCTTTAAAGGCTCATAGTAGTGGGTTTTCATGGGGAATTCAACACCATTGGGATGTTAACTCAATAACGGCTGTTTTTTAATCACCAATGAGTGGACTTGACTGTTACTACCGCCATGAGAAATTTTTCATAATGTAATATTTCCCCCACCCTCGAGATTTGAAGGCAAGTTGGAGTATTTTCTAGTGGGACCAAGGGTTTGATACATCAGAAACCTTCACAGACACATTAATTGGTATTTCAACCAAATTACAACTATTAAAAAAGAACCAAGTCATGAAGTGGCATGTTTGTTAGATGTCGACTCTAAAGGCTCGTTTTGATATGAAGAAAAAAAAGCTGCCGTTTAAAAAGTGTTATTGATATGAATGGCAACTGCAAGCGATGCAAAATACAGAAATGTGACGCTCACATTTTGTCATTAATAAATGGCGCGGTTTTGCCACAGCAAACCTGGGCATCATATCAGTCCCAAGCTAGTCTTCATGTTTAGTGACTTTTACCACTGGTAATTCACACGTACCTGTATGTTTGATTTTTGTTTAGTTGGATGCAAGGACTGTTGGATTCCAGGATGCCCTCGAGGAACTGATGACTCTTAGCGAAGAAGATCGTGAAGCTAACATGATCGAGAAGGTCCACAGGATGATGAATAAGCGTGTCAACAGACAGAGGAGAGAGGGTATAAAGACCTCTGCCCTCAACAGGATCAAGAATCAGGTAAAAATATCTTTTTGTTGTCCGTACAGGTTTCAGGCAGGCCCTGTCGTCTCTCTTGTTTCAGGCTACATATTGTACAGAATAGATCAGACTCCATGTCATGGTCTCTTAACATCCTTATGGAGTAATAGCAACTGTACCCCTTGCGTTAAAAGTGTAAAATAAATGAATTGTTGCATCTCTATCTCTCTGGTGAAAAAGCATTTAAGAAAATTTCAGGAAAAACAAATTTTATTGTGTGAAAAGAAAAATTTATGCTCCTTCTTTTTGTAGGAACGCATTTAATGAAGATCATTTTAATACTTAAAGAAATATGTTGAGATAATTTTTTTCTTCATGTAGACTCTGCTCAAACATACAAATTCAAAGCGACTGTCAGCGTGGGTTTGCTATTCATTGAATCAAGGGAGCAATATGAGTTACAAATATTTAATTTATCTTTGTTGCATTGATGAGTATTTTTTGTTTTTTGTTGCTGAAAAAAACCTTTACTCAGATACAAAGTCACAGATAACATCATACATAAATATTTATAACAAGCATTTCTTCACATTTGTAAATAAGATCAAATTATATATTAAATTATATATCTGTATTTACTTGAAAGCAGATTGTAGATGCATTTTCTGTGAATCCTTAATTATCTTCCTCCACTTAGTGGTTGTCACATCTGTTGTCTTAGTTTTATTTTCCTCAACTTCTAGTCTTTATTTTAAAATAAACAGAAAATATTTGCATTGATGAGTATTGATCTTGCTGTTGATGTTGACAGTATGAAACCAGTCATGATGTGGAGGAGGAGGCTGAGGGAGCTTTCGTAGCCATGAAGGTTCTTGGTAACGACGTCTTCTACAAGGATCGTGATGACATCGAACGTATGGCCGAGAGGTTCAGCAGAGAAAGGCTGATGGAGGTGAGATTGATAACCTAGAGATTTGGAGATTTAGTGATATGTGTGTGATTGAGAGATAGCAGAGCTGCCAACCAGTATGATTTAATTGTAGTTTGTACGATTTTTAGAAGTAAATACGACAGTATGATTTTCCTCAATAAAATACAATTTTCCGAAAACACACACACACACAAAAAAAAAAATTGGGGCGGGGGGTAGTTTATGTGTGTGTGTGCCATTTTTATGCCTCCGCTACGTCAGTAAAATACAACTTTTTGGGATGAAAGAATATAGTTTTTGAACTCCAGAGGTTGGCAGGTCTAGAAAAGGCTGTTGCTCACTGATAAAGCATACATGTTTCATTATTAGGTGGTATGTACAAATCTACATTTGAACTCTTAAATTTGTTTTCCTTTTTATTTATTTCTGTACATATCTCAAGAATGGCATTTTAATTTTTTTTCGTTTAAGTTGGCCCAATGTTAGATCCCCCTGAAGACTGGACACACTAACCTTTTGCAGGTCATTTGCGTAATGCGATGTCATTTAGGCACAATTTTGGTGAATTTTGCCTATCTCTAATATCTCTATAACCAAATGGCATAACATTTTCATATTTCACACCATGACACGTTAACTGGTTGCGCAGCATCTCAACATGTCAAATGCGCGTGAACCTTTGCAAGCCAGTGCTCCTGTATAAATAGAAAATGTTCAAATTGTCTCAATTCTGCATATATTTCAGGCCAATTGAAACATTTTTCTTATGAAAATTTCGCACACAAGGGCCCACCTTGCAAAGAGTTTTGATCCAAATCAATCGTAAGTCCTTCAATCAATCGCAAGTTTGCAGTCTCTTATCTCTTATGTACATACTTGCGATTGATATCAACTCTTTGTCAGCTTGCGTTTTTTCCATGCGTCGGCCATACGAAAGCTAAAAAAAAAGAAGTTAAAAAAATAAAAATTTTACACTGCTTTCTGTCTTCCTACAGATCATCGCATCCCTAGTCTCGCAGAGAAGCCATGAATACAGTCTGAACAAGAACTTCAAGACTTCCAAGGTGACCATCCCGACCATCGCTGGTATGCCTCTGGAGGTCAACATCCAAGGAGCATTCAACACCATCCTGAAGGCATCCGGCAAGCTGGATGTGCTCGGCATGATGGCCACGCCAAGGAGAATGGCCGTCCAGGGATTGTTTGAACCAAGGTATGTCAATTAAAGCCTGTCTCTCCTAGTTTGGCCAGGGGGATTATACCTCCCTGCAAGGTCACTGACAGGTGGTTATCTCATCAAGTCAGCTCTCAATTAACATAAGAAAGAGAGAATCATCGGGGACCAACAGGTACCGATTAGGCATTGTTTGTCATAAAGAGGGCTCAAGTAGCTATAAGTAGTGCAGAGGGGCTTTATAAGACGCGTTGCTTCGTATGAAAATGAATTTTGATGCTCTTGTCAGATCAAACCTAAACTTTAAATATCAAGCCTTGTTGCTTCATCTCAGATTGTATTTGGATGCTATGAGAGTTGCACCTGACCTACTTGGGTGAGGATTGATGGTTGTGATGATTCTAACGTTTGTATTGGTAGCTGTGGATGATAATGATGGGAAAAAACGAGGGTATTTATTTCCAGTTTATCGTCACTATGCTGAGGATTTGAAATGATCTGGGCCCCGTCTTACACAGGTGACCAAATCTCTCTCTTGGGAATTAGTAAAGGATAGGTTCCAATATTTGGAGTGCAGGGAAATTGTCTTTCTGTGGAAAATACAACATAATCCAGCAAACCATCTTTCTTTTTATAGGCCCAGATCATTCACCTTTCACATACAAAATGTAGACACTTGAATGACTTTATTTCTCTCTCAGAATTATCACTTAATCCTTTATTTCTCTTGAACTCCATTTTTGCAGTGCTGCCATCGAGATCAACAGCAACATGATGGTGGATGCCCATTGCGCTCGTAGCGGTCTGTCCCATAAGACCAACATGGCTTCCTCCCTGAGCCTCGGAGGCAGTCTCTCCTTTGAGAACGGCATGCTAAAGGCCAAGGTCACAGCCCCACCAAGACGCGAGACCATCATCGATGCTTCGTAAGTATCACATGGCTTTGTGGATGTCAGAAAGGGAAAAATTGTTGCAGAGGGCAGAAGAATGTGTGACAGAGACAGTTAATTCTTCTGATAACTCTTAGAATCAACAAGTGTAAACCCACTAAACACTGCCTGTACTTGGGTCTGTTTATCTGTCACTTGTTGGGTCCTACAATGGCATTGTAAGAATTTTACACACACAAACAGACAGAGACATCAAGAGTTATCTCATCATTGCAATTTTGGGTGAACGGGGAAGGTTTTGATTTAAAAGGAATGCATTTGTTGACATATTATAAATAGAAATATTGAGCTGGTTGTCTACTTTGGTGCGATATGCACCCCGGCCTGCACCACCTATTTGCAACTTAAACAGTGAGAGCAGCTTATGATACCAAATGTACTGTAGGAATTTATGATGTACTAATTGTTTACATCCTGGTTGGAGCACCATCTTTGCTTATGATTGAATTGTTTTTCTTTGTTTCCGCGTTGCCAGGTCCTCCCTGTTCTTCATGCAGAGGAATGAAATGGTGCCAGTCACTGAGCCTGAGGATGCTGTGACTTCTATTGAAGAAACTTTTGCTAATGACCGATACAACCTTCACATCAGTGGTACCAGACCAAACATGCCCTTCTCTCTGGTAAGAATTTTTTCTTTCTCTTCAGCCTTCTCCCCCCCCCCCCCTTACGATCAAATCTTTTAACCTTTAACCTTCAAAGCAATGGCATCAGACATGCCTTTTTGATACCTTTCTCTGTAGAAACTATGGGCTTTGAGAGTGGAACTCAATCATACAGTTTTTGAGCGTTAAGTAACGACTGGCTGAAATGCTCCCCAGGGAGTGGAGATTGTGCACACAGTGTGTGCGGGCAAGCACTGAATCCAATGACCGGGGTAATAGTATATTTGTGAAGCGCTTAAAGACATTTGTATTAAGCGCTATATAAAAGCTAAATATTATTATTATTATTATCCACTACTTGGATGATTTTTGTTTAATTCTCTTCTTTTCTTCTCTTCTTTTCTTCTCTTCCAAACAGCCCCAAGCATTCTTCCAGAACTGGAGAATGGAGATCACTCTGGACAAACTTGAAGACAGCCTCGTTTCTTACGATCTTGAAGCTGGATTCAGAACAGACAAGGTAGGAGTCTTCAGCATATCATAGAACTTGTTAACCCATTCCCTACCTGAAGTGGGTGGCTCCTGTACGGAAGACTATGAGAATAAAAGAATTGAGTAGTTAGTGGGTTCAATTGAGGGGTTTATTCTTATCTACCATTGTGTGTATTAAAAAGAGTTATAAATCATTGTTCAACATCAATTTTTGTGTAATGATTCATTGTTGAATAGGGCATAAGACATCTGACATCTTAACTACATTAAACTTATGGGAAGAAAAAAAGGAGGAGTATTTTAATAGCCCAAATGCAAAGTACAAATTTGAAATTCATCAGCATGATTTATGAATCGTCCATAGCATGCAAAGGATTTTGTGGCCGAGGCTAGTACATGTAAGTGTTCATGTGCTTCCTCATTAGTAATTAGCATGTAGCAATGGCGAGAAAAGACGAGTCAGGAGCACCAAATTCATAATGATTGGTGCCGTCAGTGAATTGAAAGTTGTAATTTGGAAAGATAATATGAAGCCTAATCTAGGAAATAGTGGTATCTGCGTGTACCGGCTTCATGTCCCTAAGATATGCTTCGAACCACCTCTGTGCTTTAAAATATGATAGTCATCGATGCAAACAATAAGTACTATTATAACTGTCAACAATAATTATTTATTTCATGTTCCGGAGGCATTTTTTCATGCCGCCTAATTTAGTGAAACAATTACTCGTAGCTATATTCTGAACAGGTCAGTGAACCCCTTATTCTGGTTGTGTTTATTATAGGCATTCAGGAATGGTCAGATTGAGAAGACAGATCACCTCCACCTCCTGCTTGGCGCCCCCGGCAGCGAGACCGTTGGTGTGTACAGCATGGACCTGGCTTATCACCGTAGCAACGCCACCCTCCTTATCAACGCAGAAACTCCACAACATGGCAGCATCTATGTCATAGGTATGGAGGTTATGATTATAAATTACAGGAGTAGAAACATATCATCTGTTTGGAGCCAGAGGGGCATTCACTTTTTATTATTTTAAACAAAGTTAATGCCCTTATTTGGCTCCAAACAGACGCAAACAGAGCCTACAATTTTAAATAATGTAAATCGTAAATCTTAAAGAATCTTGATAGGAAATGGAGATGACTCGTTTGCAGTCAGTGAACAAGCTATCGTTGAGTACGAGTCAATGACTTAACGTTTTGAATTCTAAGCCAAAAAGAAGTTGGGCTAGAGTCTATAGAAGATACATGTCAAATCAATATCAAATCGTACCCAGTAGGTTATCAACTCTTGTAGTCCATCTTTTAGTTTATAAGTGTAACTTCATCTGGGAATAAGAATTACAGATGTTAAAAGGACAAAAAGTGAACTATCTGTGTGAGGATATACTAACAACTAATATTTCAAAAGAGGAATCCTATTTTTTTAAATACTTCCAGAAGTTTTATGCCTTACACAGATCAGAGTGTACTGTGAAGCTCAAAGCTTTATTAGGATTACATAGGATAACATACTATTTATGCTCTTTGACAGAAGAAACTATACAAACAGATTGATCTGTGTGCAATATAATTCTCTACTTTCTTTTAAGTCCCAGCTTGAAAAGCTGTGGGGTGTTTTCATTCATTGCCTTTATTAGGATTTTCTTGTACCAGTAATTTTTTAAAGCATTTATTACAAATTGGATAATGACACATTCTATCTATGCTTTTTACCAGAAGAAAATATACAAACAGATTATTCCCCTGTGTAACATGGATTCTTCAATTTCTTTACTGAAGGTTCACTGCGTAACGAGACTAACAGTAAGAGACTTCACCTTCAAGCTACCAGGTCTGAAACGACCTACATGTTGGAGGCCGGTATGGACACTATCCCACTCTCCAACGGTATCAAGTTTGTTCCTGTCTTCGCCGTGACGATCCCAGACCTCGTAAGCTACGCTCTTGAAGGACATGTCAGCTGTACAGGAGAGGAAAAGCTTTGGGATCTCAGTCTGGTCGATAACACGGAACGAAAACTTGCTTCTCTGAAAGGTACGTTGCACATGACTTTATTTGATATGTGATATATGATTCTTGTACCCAAGGAGATCTGAAGGCACTGACCCCCTGCGCAATGCAATGCATCCAACACTGGATTGGGACAGTTTTATCAAGAGTGAATGTCGTGGCATAATATAATAATAATAATAAAACGGTGCTTATCAAGCGCTTTCCACCGAAGTCTCTAAAAGCGCTATAACAAACAATTATATATTAAACAAAAAAATTACAAATAAACCTACAAATTCCAATATATATGAAATATATATACATCAACGTGAACAGAGTAATTCATGAAAAGCAATTTTGAATAAATGTGTCTTAAGACAAGTTTTGAATTGGTTGACAGTCTGACAATTTTTGACATGTAAAGGTAGTTTGTTTTAAAGTTCAGCAGAAGCTTTGCAAAAAGACCGATGACCATTACAGCATCTGTCAGGTAATAGCTCATAGGTACGGAGAGATAAACTCCTCTTTTTGATAACATGGTTGATTCACTTACTGACTGAAGCATCACTTTTGATCTTTGCCCTAGGTGACTTCATCAAGAACAACACCCTGCGTCGCCTGTCCCTCTCTGGTAGCCTCGGTGCCTTCTCCAGCTCCCTCCAGGGCGGCTACAAGTTTGAGGAAATGTCCTCCTCCGCCATTATCACCCCCATCTTCAGCCTAACGAGTGTCTTCCCTGCCATCTCTCTGAGCATCGGTGGTGGACCCCTGGTCATAGCAGACAGCGGTACGACCATGAACGAATTCTACCTCACGACAGCCAACACAAGACTCATCGAGGTGTCCAGTAAGTACACCACCATTGATCTCCTCCTATGCTTTCTACTTGTTGACCAATTCAGGACTGAAATTATTTAACAGCTAAACTGATAATCATGGGAGATTTCATGTTCTTGATGAGGAATTTATGAAAAGTCTAATATACTTGAATTTTTGCTTTTGAATATATTTCATTATAAGGCTACAAATGGCTCTCCATAATTTTTAAGTCCAACTTAGAGTTAAGTTTTACTTAGAATCTTTATGAAACACCCCCTGGTAAGTCACAATGTTGTTTCACATTCCCTCCTCAGACTTCCATCTTCAGGTGAGACAGAGGAGCTTCGGGTTCCAAGGCAAGATCAAGGAAACCATCCCATTCGGCGTCGAGTTTGACATGACCAACGACGAGCAGAGGCAGTACTCTGTGGATCTGACACTGACCTCCATCATGGGAGACTACAACATTCAAGGTCTACTCTTCAACAGGTCAGCAGACTCCATCTACAGGCTGGAGGTCATCGCTACGGTCAACAGTACCGAGTACTTCAATCTAACAAGTAAGTGTCGGTTATGTGTTACCCCTTGCTTTAACTTAGTGACGGGCCTGGACCCCATTTTATAAAACATACCATTGATGGCTAATGGCAACTGCCATGGAAACCTTGATTTGATTGGGTGTTTAGTGATATTGCCATGGTAGTTAATATTGATGGCAAAGTTAACCATCAATGGTAATTTTATATAAAGGGCCCTGATTACCCTTTCCACATCCATTTTGTTATCTAGCTAGTACATGTACCTTACCAATGGGTTTTCTAGCTTTTGAATTACTGGTACTGTTTTTTGCCTTGCCCTAATTGATTCAGAATATTTTGTGATAAGCATACATGTAGTTCTCATGATTTGGATGATATTCCAAATGATATATCAGACATTTCAGACAAAATTCCCCCTATCCATGAGAAAGTAATTTTTAAATATATATTCAATGTCAGAAGTGCTTGCCATCTTACTCTAAGCATACATGAAATGTGATATGTTTCAAGTTCCATGAACCAGATTTCAGATAATGAGAACAATTTAGTTGCCAGGTTTTTTTTTAATATGCATGTTCAACTGTATGACTTTTATTTCATTGATTGTTAATTAAAAGAATCAAGATTATTAACATTTTATTGAAAGGTAAATGATTTTTAAGCTACCTGTACATGTAGGTAAATCATGAATCACTTTATCTGTTGCCATGACAGCTGAGTTCAAGAATGAGGTCAATGCTCACCAGTACCTGGACACCCTCGTCAAGTTCCGAGGCATACAGATCTTCAGGAGCAAGAATGGTCTCCAGATCCAGGCTCTGAATGCCAAGACCAGGTTCACTCCAATCTTCATCTTGGAAACCAACCTACTTTTCAGCCTCTCTGCGGAAGGATCCATTGATGTATCTGAAAGTGGAATCTTGATTAACAACATGGCCTTGATTAGTGCTGCTGAGGACATCTTCAGACTCAGTGGTAGGTGCTGCATGTTTGAATGCAACCCCTTCTGTTATCCAGAGTCAAAAGCTAATTGTATTAATTTGAAAACACTTCCATCATGTTGCATGCTCCATCTTCGGGAGCATTTCGATGTTTTAGACAGAGACAAACATTTTCAGATATTTTCTTCTTTGTTTCTTTTGTTTCTTAAATCCTTGTCTATGTCCCCTCAGAAAAAAAGGAAACAAAATGTAATGATAGTTTACCTGTTAATGGACATTAGGAAGGTTTTCAAAGGAGGTACATGTAACTAATAGAGGGGGCAGCAAAACGAAAAAGAAGGATAAGTAGAATATCATGTTTGCCCATTTTTGGATCATTGTTTGATTTCAGACCTTTACATCTCCAGCTTTTCCAGGCTTTATCTTGTAAGGTTACAGTTTGGGTTCCTACATGTTGTAGACTCATTTTAGGGTCCTTGGGTAAGACAACCTGGTATTGCTTCCCTCGATATATGAAGAGCTTAATTCCAAAAGGAGCTAAATCCACTTTTGATGAAAATTGAGTTGCATGTATTCATATCAGAACATTGTTCACTTAAATACCTGTCTTTCAATGAAATTATTTACCTAGATTTTAGGAGCAATTATGAACAAATGCACCTTCTAATATCATTTTTCCAAAGACGCCTGTACAAAATATGGTAAACAATTTTTTTTTTTTTCTGAAGTTGCAAAAATGGATTTAGCTCCTTTTGGAATGAAATTCTTCATATGTAGAATTTGTAGGCAAAGGTTGCAGTAAAATATGTTTATTTCTGTTGACAGGTTCTGCCTCAGTTGATCGTGATGCAAGGAGCATCAGTTGGTCATTTAACGTTGATGGTGCATACATCACCGAGGTCGTATCAGGTTCTGCCTCCCACCATGAGAACACGGTTCTCTTCCAGACATCAATGGCTTCGGATGCATCATCAAACCAACCCGACTACAGTCTTACCATTGATCTCCAGAACTCCACCAAAGAGGTATGTGTGTGTGTGGAATCGTTTAGCCATCATTGTACAGTCAAACCTGTCTATAAAGACCACCCAAGGGAAACAGACGAAGTGGCCACTGTAGACAGGTGGCCTTTCTAGACAGGTTCTACAACACACATTTCTCTCTCAAGGGAGACAAAATACATGGCCACCATAGACAGGTGGTCTTTATAGAGAGGTAGTTGCTAATACAGGTTTGACTGTACACAAATATTTCATGTTTGCAAGTGCATTAGTAATTATGTATGATAATGAAAAAGACTTCTGAAGATAGTATCTGTCTTATTGTGACTTAAACGACTGCAGTGCAGTAATGCTCAAGCTTCAAAACATAAAATGAAGAGGTTTACCCACCTCCGAATACACATATACATGTATAATACACACTTCAGGGTTATAGAACTGACAGTACTGACATTTTAACAAAGCCACATGGACATGCTGAAACACTAAGCTGATAACAGCTCCCACCTACCCTAAGACATTAAATATAGAAGAAGTACATGGGAACTCTCCTATTTTGTTTTTGATAGGGTGAGATCTTCTCCTGGGATGGCAAGATTGAACTGGACATGCCCCATCACCCGGAGCTGAGCTTCCGTATGGACACCGAGTACACCCTCACACCCTCACGCTCTACCGGTAATGTCTTCAGGATCTGCTATGACGGTATCGATTGCACCTCCACCGACAAGAGGGTATGTTCAATGCTGTTCTTCAGTTTCTTGTAGTTCTCTTTTGTTCTTTGAAGGCAGGGCAATGTATTAATTGGTGTATCTCATGTATGTGGAAAATATGTCAAGTTTATTCTTACAAAGAAGTCTTATTTCCTTTGAGCACTGTCCATTCAATCGCAAAAGAATCTGCATATAACAGATGGCAAATGGATGATTAGATACATGTCAATAAGAAGAAACTAATGATAAACACTGATGAAAATCTAGCAAATTGGGGGATATCTTACCTATGACTATATGGATATCAACCTACAGTGAAGGTGAACACACCTTTAGATACAAAGAAACAAGAAAAAAAAACGTTTTGATAATTTTACCCTCATGTTTTTTTTTATTGACAAGGCATAATAGGTTTTATATCGCGTACAATATATACGATTCATATCCATTATAAGCAAGTATCGGTTCTTTTCCATTCAATTGCGGGATATGTTACTAAAAATACTATCTGTATATATTCATCCTTAGTTTAGAGCAAATAGTATTCTTAAAGACTATTTTGAAAAAATTATGGTTCCAGTGTACTGTACTACATCATGCTTCATCTCTCCTTTGTTTTGCTGCATCCCACTTTTCATTCAAACAGATCACTTTGGGCCATGACCTGACCTTCAATCGTGTGAAGAATGTTTCATACAGTCATGACATGGAGGTAACATACACCCATCCTGCAGCCGATAAGGATTTCACCTTGGACTGGACCACCAACTGCACCGCAAATGTCTCCTCTGGCACTACGCTGACTCTAAGGGACCATGAGGATGATCTCTTTACCACCACCATAACGTACATCCCTGAAGGATCCGCTAGGAACGGCTCAGTGAGCCTCCTCGTCAAGGCACCAGGTTACTTTGATTATGAGTACACAGACACTTTCCATTTCAGCAACCCCAAGGACATACTCTACCTATCTAAATACAGATCAGGAGAGCAGGTCATGAGCTTCCTAGTTCGATTCAATATGACCGGTGAAACCAACAGCTCCTTCTGGACATCCACTGTGTTGGAATACACGGACATCAGAAACAATGATTATACTCTGGAATACATCTTTGCACAGACTGGCAGTGCCAACGAGCTGACCTCGATGACCATTAAGAAAAATTCTGAGCTGAAGATGCATATGTTAGAGGAAACCACAAAGGAGAGTTCAGACACCAGAATCCTTTTTCGTTACACTCGTGTTCTCAAGACGACCTTCCAACCTGCCCAGGATTTGAGCTACAATCTAACTGTGATTGTCAATCCACAAACTGGCAATGGTAACGTGGATATGCAGCTTCGATTCCTGCCTGGCCAGAAGCCGATTTTGCTCATAGCCGATTACACCAATAAGAGCACAGATGCAAAGAAAGAAGGCCACATCATTGCCACTCTAAGCCTGCCAAAGACCTCCATCACCGTTGTCTGTGAAGGAAAGCTAGAGAAGGGTGTCCCATCTGGCAACCTGAGCATTAAGTTCCAACCCCTGATGAGATCTGCTGAAACCTATGCCATTGAGTTGGCCATGAAGAACAGGAGTTCCTCACCCAGCCAGATTTACGACACTGCCCTGATTTTCAGGTCCCCTGCAGATGTCAGCTATGGCATTAAACACACCGTTGAATATTCTGAAGATGTGTTCTTCCCATTGACATCTTCCCTCACTGGCATTTGGGGAGGTATGTCCTAGTAATTTGATTGTATTGTAATATTGATAGCAAAGTTACAGTCCTTTTGATAGTAATAATGTTCCTTTTAGCTCTACTTGTTGTAGCATCAATTGAGACCAGTACTTTAAGAACAAAATGCTGATATTATTTTGATGCAAAGGACTTTTAGATAACATGTTGAGGACTTAATTAAGTATCCATCCTTATGGAGGGTACATGTAAACTTTGAGTTTTTATTGCAATTGCCAGGTTTGTATAAACTAAAGCTACATTTATTATTTTCAAACCATTGGAAGAAGCCTGCTGCTTCATTGTTAAGGTGTCTTTCGAATTTTAAACAGAGGACATCTTATTTAAAGCTGAAACTTGGGTTGCGACACAATCCATTTGATTTATGTGTTTCTTTGTTATTTACTGTACAGAGGAGGAGGTGACTGTTAGTACATCGCTAACATTTGATGAGAGCCTTAACATGAGAACGGAGTTGGACTTGAGCCTTGCCATACCTGAGCATATGTACCTCTTCAGTGGTCGATTTGACAGAGGTTCGCGTAACATCACCATCACGAAAGACTCCAACATTATCTGGTCAAGCAACTACATCCAGAACGTCCAAGAGTCCGATGCCGGCTCCACATTCACTCTCGAGATCCGTGAGAGCGTGATGACCTATGGCTCTGAGATGACCCTGACCCTCTCCAACCTCAGCAACGCATATGCTTTCAATCTTCAGATGCAGGATAATAATAGGGAGGCTATCTATACCAACTGGGCCCTTGACCTTTTCCCAGGTCAGAACCGATTTGACCTCACAACAGAATCCAGATCTGACTTTTTACCAGGTTACAACACCAAGACCTCTCTAAATTTCATGAAAACTGAGCAGTCCACAACTCTCTCCTCCTCACTGAACGTCGACAGTACCGATATGGTAAGTTCTCCCGGTGTTTTGTTGTCTCTTCTCAATATTGCAGGATACACTTGGAACTTGAATTATTGTTATAAAAGTACAGTGTTTAAAACACTGTTGCACAAACACAAAACAAATTGCACAAACACAACGCCACTAGGCTATCATCGATTCAACAGAAAAAGTACTAAGAGAGGACCAGTAATTACGCCCTCTCACATTGCCTGGCGAAAATCATCCAATGACGATGAAAACGCCATAAATCACAACAACAACAACATCATGTACTCTCAGGAATACATTCAGCTCTCCGTCATCGCTTACATGAAACTTACATTGATCAGACCTAATTGAAACTGAGTCATGTCTATGGGATGGTGAGATTGAAGGTCATTCTCAGACGTAAATATTTAAAATATAATTGGTACATGTCAGTAAACAGTTAATTTTACACACCTTCGAGTTGTTAACAAAAGGTTCTATTAAAATAGAAAAAAACATTCTTGATAGTTTATTTTTGTAAATAATTTTCTGTTTACTTCATCATCACGTGCATAGTGATGACATGTCAACCAAACTTCTTGAATCAGGAGAATTCTGTGACTGTAGTTGTGATGTGACTTGTAAGAGTATAAAGAATGAGGCTGTGCAATGCAATGTATTAAATTAAATTGTCCCCCTCTCCTCTTCTCTCTCTCTCTCTCTCTCTCTCTCTCTCTCGCTCGCTCCAGCTCTCCATGACATTCACCAATGCTGCATCAGAAGAGCCCATGTCCCGTACCACCCAGATTGTCTTCAGGCAGCCCACCAACCCCGACCTCCGTCTGCGTCAGGTCGTCATCTCTGATTCCTGCAGCATGACTGCGCAAGGTATCACCCACAACACCACCCTGATGTGGGGTAACCTCCTCCCCACCCAGGCCATCGCTCTTCGTTTCATCGGCAACAGAAACGAGGCTGGAGCAGGAGCGACTATCATGCTTCTCAACGAGGGACGCGTCTTTGGCTTCGGAAGGTTGTTCACCCTAGCTCTTGGAAAGACAAGAACTGCAACTGATCAAACAGGCACTGTAAGTTCTTTATATCACATCTGGGCCCCATTGCACAAAACTTATCATTGATGGTAACTTTGCCATCAATGGTAACTACCATGGAAACCTTGATTTTGATTGGCTGTTGAGCCCCGTTACCATGGTACATGTAGTTGCCATTGATGGCAAAGTTACCATCAATGGTAAGTTTTATGCAACGGGCCCCAGATGCTCAACTTAAGATAAGACATTGTGGCTACAGTCTAAAAACCTTGCTTAAGCCTGCTTGTACAATTTCAAGTGGCTGCAAGTATACATTAAACATCCATATTAAAGCAGCTACATGTAGGCTAATTGTAGAAAGTTATAATGAGAATCTGGCGTACGTTGCCATATTTTTCAGATGCAAAGACTCTCTCCAAGTGAAGAATTCAGATGTTATTAATTTGACCATGAAAATACAAGATAATGTAAGGGATCTAAGATAAAGAGTAAAATAAGATGAAGTGGTATGTGGGTCAGGGTTATGAATAATAAAACCCTTCTTGTTGCCCGCAGATAGTATTCTTTTGTGTTTATTTGTGATATTCTTTCCATTGCTGGAGGAGATATATTAATGAACATTTGAGTTGAATATGAATTTGTATAAGAACTAAACACTTCTTGAACGTTGACACTTTCTCTGCTTCAGATCACTCTTACCAGTGAGACTGGTAACATCTTCTCTCTTCAAACCGTGCTGACAAACACCAGCCAGGGGTACATGAAGGATTATGATACTAGCATCACCATGACCGTACTGGACAGACATGTAAGTTATCAGGTTTTTTTTTTATTGTGAGATAGTGGTATTAGTTCTTTAATTCCTATTTTCGAATATATGTACATTATAGTATATCATTGTGGTGAATGCATGTTTCAAACAATATTATAAAGTTCTGAAACCTACCTTGGAGTCCTGTAGTTAAGTGCTTAGAGACCCAAGCGCTTAAAGTCTTCGGTGGTAAGCGCTTTATAAGTAACGTTTTTATTATTATTATTATTAGCAAAATGTGGTAGCATTAAAAGACCCATGCAGAATGCAAGATGCAAAATAGTTTGTGACGTCAGTGAATTAAAGTTCCTTTATGACAATCACCACATTTGAATGGTAGTTGAGTTAGTTTAGGTAGTATAGTGCCTTGTCAAAGTACAATGTAGTATATGTATTTACCAGCTATAAAGATGTTTCTATCTCTGATGTCTGTCTTTGTCATTCTTGAATCTGTCATGAATTTCAATAAGACATGCAAGTTTTCTTTACCCAAAGATGATACTTTTTGTTGTTGGGGGGGGGGGGGTGGGGGGGGGGGGGGGTCATATCACATAGTTACGCATACTGGGGTAGGGTTGATGTCTTGATCCGTAAGTACCATGGATTACCATTTGTTTAATGGAAGAACAAGGAGGGGGGAGAGGGAGAGCAAGGCCCCTTGCACCCACTAGCTACGCCTATTTTAAACTACCTACATGTCCATGTACATAACTAAAACGGTCAATATCTTATGTTTGAAAGTGAGACTTTGATAAGCTATCAACAATTTATGTTCCTATGCTCTCTTTAGCCAATCACCATTGGGGCTAGTCTGGTCCATAACAGCAGTAACAGAGTCCTAGATGCTGATCTTACCCTCACCTACAGCGCGGACATGAACCAGAAACTGACCGCCGGCATTGAGCTCACTCGTGTCCTTAATGGTCACTCCATTGTACTGAACCTACGTCATTTGGTCAACATCATTGATGTCACCATCATTGGGTGAGTGAATCCTTGACCATTTGCTCTTGTATGTCATGCTTATATACCTCAGTCACATGGCCAAACCGACCAGACCGGCTGAGTCTTGGCAATTCGGGAATGTAAATTTCTGATTGGTCCGTTGTCGGCCTGGTTTTGGTCTCGCTGGTGTGTGTTAGGTATTGGTATTAAACCCCTGGCTCCTACTTGTTCCTAATTTGAACCGTGTCATGTATCAAACCTCACCTTCCAGCCTTTGCTATGTCATACAGTATATAACTGTTCATAGCATACTATCAATATTGAAAAATAATAGTCAGCAGCTGAATATTTCTCCCCTAGGAATATTATCTCCTCTATCGAGACATTGAGGTAAGAGGGAAGGATACATCAAATTTCGTTATGTCGTCAAAGCATTTTTGTTACAAACAAATTTCAACTTTTTTTTTCCAAAAAAAATTCTGTTTAGAATACAGAATGAATAAGGGTAATCATTTCAAGAATTTAAAATGATGATTGTGTCTCTTGAAAGTCAAAGTCAAAGTCATTTACTTACCCTACCTGTTTGTAAAAATATATTCATGCCATTTTGGCTCTCAGTAGTGGAAGACTAGTATTAAAGCATGCCAGTGTCTTTAAATTCATTTATTATAAAGTGCTTTTATAAATGTAATGCTTCCTGGGAGAAATTTCAATTATTAAAACATATTTGTAGATGCAGGTTTAAGTCCCGCTGGTTCCAAGATTTCTTCTTAATTGTTTTTCAATACAGATCGATCAATTGATCTTATTTACTGGGTGTAAGCCACAAATATGTTTAAATAGTTAAAAAGTGCTTGTAAATTAACAAATGCATCTTTTTACATCCTTTTTTTTTTTCTAGTACATACTCCAATTCATCCAATCTATTTGAGATGTCGCTTGAGAACAGTGTACTTCTTGGAGATGAAAGGCACCAACCTGAACTCTCATTCTCGCTGAACAGAGGCACCAAGGAAATATCATTTTTGGTATTGTTTTTTACTATTCATTTTCATAGAAATACAATTAAGGCAAATAACAGTTTGAACCCTTGTCAGTTGTAGTGCATCAGATTGCTGGTTCTTCTGCACTTAATGATGGGCTCTGTACTATAATAGCTGCTTGACACAGCCAGACACTGGCTTAGGCTTGACTGAAAGATGAAATTGTGTTGGAATTGTCAAATTAGTGTCTGTGCATGCCTGCAGTCTAAATAGACTGTATTCGTACAGCAAAACAATGAAATAATTGGCAATGTATAAACCACTGTTTCACTTTTAGTACTTAATTTACATAAATGTTAAGAAGGAGAATGAAAGAATAAATGATGACATGGTCCTGTTTATTGGAAGATAAGGCTGAGAATTTTCTTCCTAAAGTACATGCACATATAATGTACTGAACGTACTGTGATCATTGTTATGATCTGTATAATAATTGACAATTTGTATAGGGGTGCGAGTCATCTTGGCTAAAATCTCTTGAAATGTTTTCTTTTCTTTTGTAAATCAAAATCACCTTGTATTCATGAACTTGCAGTACACTGGCAGTAGAAACTACGGATTCAACGGCCAGTTCTTGAACAGGACCACTGAAGAAGGCAGGGTGTATGTAATCAACTGTCGCAACAATTACAACGGTCGTGTGGTGCCTTACAGCATGGTGTTCAATGAACCACGAAGGATTGTTGGAATGGTGGTTCAGTACAACCCAGGTATGTACGAGAGATTAAGTTGTCTTCTGCCGCCTTCTTGGGTGGCGGATTCAGGATCCCCTGGCAAGGGGGCAGGGGCGCAAATCCAAAAGTAAAAAACCAAGGTGATCATGTTTCTGGTGTGCCCTGCTAGTGAAACAAATCTCTGACAAGCAAATACAAGGGGGATCTTCCGCCCTCCTCCTCCCTACCACTGCTTGGCGGGTGGGGGATATCAATATTTATTTTTATTATTATTATTCATATTTGTATTACTATTAATATTGCTTTTAATTCTATCAATTTTATTATTGCTGATGTTGTTTGTCGCTATTAATGTTATCATTATTATTAATTTCTAACCTTCAGAAAACATTGCGGACACCTGGGAGTTCAGGGCAGGATACGAAAACGACACTGCCATCTTTGTCTCTTTGGACACCGTCCACTCCGGCCAGACCATCCACAACGGTTCTCTCGTCATCAGCTTGGACCGCAACGTGTCTAAGGTTCTCACCACTCAGATCAACTGGGAGCCAGCTTGGCCACAAGACCTCAAGGTACAGTCACTTCTGTCACACCTCTTTTTTATAACTCTTTATTAAGGCTCGTTTCAGATATGGCAAGGTAAACCGCTGCGAAAAATGCCACCGCCTCGTTTTTTAACATGTAAATGAATGGCAAGTGTTCCGCAACAAAGGACTTGCACATATTCACCAAGCTGTGTGTATGTGAGATGCAGAAATATGAAGTGTAAAGTCATTAAAAAAAGCTGCGGTTTTGTCTTGTTTTGTCTGAACTAGTTTCTAGGCTCTTGTTCCAAGGGGTTTGATTTTCATTGATATTTTCCCAAATATGAACATTATTACTTTTCAAATACCTGTAATTCTTCAACCATGTCTTAAATCACAAAATGTTGGGAACAAACTTATTATAATAGCTGTTTTATTTGTCTTTTTTACAACAGGCTGCAGTTCTGAATATAGTTAACAAGACGATGGCACTCCGTGATGTGAAGCGTGCATCCATGTGCAGCAGCTGGAAGGCTCTGGCCCAGAGGATCAACGGCACAGCAACGGGCTTCTTGGTATCCAACGTCAACATTTACACTCAGATCCAGCTGTTGAAGACTCAGGTCAATACCCAATGGGCTCTAAACTCACCAACCAGGATGATCCAACTTGGAAATCTAGTGGTAACATTCTCATTTTTTGCCTGTTGGAATTCCATCTGTTCTGTTGCGGTGATTTCTTGAATTTGTCTTTGTTAAGGCCCACTGTACTACTTATAGCTACTTGCTCCCTCTATATAGAAAAAATGCCTAATCGGTTACCTTTGGTCCCCCATGATCCTCTTTTTCTTATGTTAATTGACAGCTGAGTTAATGAGATAGCCACCTGTCAGTGACCTTCCTGGGTGGTCTAATCCCTCAACCAAACTTGTACAGATGGGCTTTAAAGGAATATATAATTGAAAAATTGTTTTGAGAGAGATTCCTTGAGAGTGATCCTGCATGGTTTGACAAGTAAAATTAAACAAATTAATACTTCACTGGTAATAACTTTCACCGAAGGGAAATGCACAGATACATGTAGCTCTGACATACTGCGAAACTGATTCCAAACCAACTCCAATTTGCACATATGGGACCACTTGTTATTAATGTGTTTTTATTGTTGGTATGGTTGGACAATATCCTTATTAATCTGTTCTCATTACTCATTGAATTGTTTGACAGATATCATGTTATCTTGATCATTCAGTGCAAAAGTTATTATAATTATTATCGTCGTCGTAATCTTCATCATCTTCATCGTCGCCATTGTTATGGGATCGCCTCTTATTTTGTGCATCTTTTTTGCCTACTGTAGGGTAAATGGATGAGGCTTAACCAGACAGTACATGCCTACCTGGCGAGCAGTGATGTGAAATCCGGGGCCTACAAGGCTTTTGCTGCCAAATTTGAGGATATCCAGGAGTACTTTTCTACAGGCTTCAATATGTTTTCAGAGGTATGAATGTTTTGCCTGAATTTCCTTAGTGAATGGTCTTAATTGTAGGAAATTAATGGGTGCATAAAAATGAAATGAATTTCGCAAGTGGCTCAGTTTTGACAAGTTATTTTTCAGTATTTTACTATATTCAGTGTCATGCATGTGTGTTTTGAACTGCCCAAATCCATTTAATGCAAGACCTTAGGAAAGAGAAAAGCCGATCTTCTTGAACTTTAAAAGTGGTGATGAATTTTGAGTGTAGATATGGAGCACTGTTTGAAAAAAATCTTATTAGCCAATCTTAAGAGAATGACTTAAAACTAGTCTACATAAATCTTATTTTTGTTATGTATGTATATTTGCTGTACATATTGTCTGAATATTTTTTAAATAACAATCCACTATGCATTTTTTTGCAGTACTATGCAGTTTACTTCAATGCATGCTTTTCATGAACCACTTAATTAATATAGTAAAGGGGAGGTTGAAGTCAGAGAGCTTGTTTGATGGTTAATTTTCTTTTTTACCCGACTGCTACAAAAGCATATGTAAGCTTGTAAGTAAGCAACCAGGGGACTTGGTAATGAGGATGAATGCCTAACCAAAGGGCACTAGCTCATTGACTTGGTTTTGAACCCGGGACCTCCAGGTTACGAGACCACTGAGCCATTGCGTCTCTTTTGTTTACAGTATGTTTAATTTTGTAGCAAAGTACATGTATATCTTACCATCTACATGATGATGTAAATAAGGCTTCATTGAATTATCTTTTGGTAAACAGGATGTTGTGATTGACTGGATGACATTCGAGGAGGCCTTAATGGCGATTCAGCATGAATTCAACGAGACAGCCATTGCTTCTCACTGGGCTGCCAGTATGGAGGCGAGGGATGCTTTCTTTAACAATCTTTGGACGCAGTTTGAAGAGGACATACTTGTCATGGATCCAAACTGGGTAGCCCTCCAGGAGCGCCTCAACACCATCTGTCAGAACTTCGGAGCTGTCGGACAGCGCATCCGGGAAGAATTCAACACAAGGATTGGTGAGTCCAGGCACGCAAAGTGTTTAAAAGAGAAAGAGAAGGAAGTAGAAAAGCAACAAATTTGAAACAGGAACAGGATTTTCAACAAAAAGATTGAAATAGAGGATGAGAAGGAGGCATTGGACAGATATTTTGATGGAGAAAAAAAATGCATAAGACAAGAGAATGGTGAAAAGAAATCAAAATCAAAATCAAAGATGAAGTGGATAATAAAATAATCAAAGATGGTTGGAGACAAACAGGGGCTAGAATTTATTAGTGCATTATTTATTCAAGTCTGATGATAGTTTGAGTATTCAACAATAAATATGCTTTGTTCCCCCCCCCCCCCATATAGCTGTCTTAAAAACTGAGAAGAGAGCAATCAAGAGAATAATTGGAGCCATCGCTGAGGATATCGAGGTCTTTAATGCCTTCCTTACGCCAGTCATTGGACAGTGGAAGGCTGCTTACGAGGTTGAGGTTGAGCCATTCCGCAACACAGATTTCAGCCCATTTGTCACTCTGGTTACAGAGCTCAATGAGACCCTCCGCACGGTGAGCATGCAGCAGGAGAGACAGATATGTATATTGTGGTGATATACTTATAGACAAGATGCATGATTAGAATGCTGGCGATAATTGTAAACCAAGGTGGGAGGGTGGTCATTTGAAAATCACAACTATTTGGAACAGAAGAGAATTGCATATTTGGCAACTGTTTTTGAGAAAAAAATTGGTTAACATAGACTGGTTATATATTGATTAAGATAGAAAGAATACAATGTAAATGTGATTAACAATTACTTTATTTTAACGCCACCCATTCACCAAACCTCTTTCCTGATGCTTTTTACAGCTATTGAATAAGGATGAAGCTCTGGCCCTCTATCAAATGACAGCTACAACCTTCCTCGATCCGTACGTCTTCATTGCCCGTAAGCGCCGCCAGGCTCCGGTCCCCAGCAGATCCGCTGACAACCTAGACGCTGAAGCCATCAAGGCTGCCCTGGCTAAGTTCAACTCTCGGTATGGTATCACCAACGTTCGAAACGAAGTCACCAACCCTTCGGCTCCAGTCGCTGTAGTGCCCATGGAAGCTGGTCAGGATTACAACTTCACAGTCCTCATTAATGTCCTGAAGAAGCTCTTCAACGGAACATACGAGCTCACCAAGTTCGATATGATGAACGGCGAAATTGTTTTTAAGATATTTGTTAAGGTTAGTACTGTCAATAGAACCTGGCAACAAGAATATGCAAGTATTGCCCATACTGCCTACAGTAGGCTACCCAGTATCAGGAATGCATGTCCAAGTATTTGATTTGGGCACTGTCCAAGTCTACATGAGTGTGTTACACTGAATTTGGGCATTCATTTTTTTTCTTCATTCATTGGCTAAAATACACTGTCATCTGTTTTTTAATAAATCTGTTGACACAAACACAATAAGTGGTCATTTATTTGCTGAATATAACACCATGTGTTTATTTGTTTGTGTTTTTTCAATCTTTACATGTCCAGATCATGAGACAGCTACATGTATTTGTGACATAGAGATGATTTTGCACATGCAGCTGTAGTAAGATTACTTTGTATGCTCTGACACATTGTTGTTTAAGAGAGAAGAAATGAAAGATAACCTTTTATCTATGTGTACCATCATTTTGGACAAGTGCAGATATACACTGACCATACCAACCATTTATTACATAATTTTTGAAGATACATAATATCATTTCTTATGCACACTCCATGTTATTTACAGGACTTCAGCAACTTCACTTCTCTGACCAACTTCACTAGGCAGTACCTGGACATGCTTCCATCAGGCATTCTTGAGAGGATCAACGTGACCAAGCTGGAGAAGATGATCAGCATGCTTCGAGAGGGCACCCTCAGCGAGTTCAAGTCCCGCTTCATGGAGCAGTTCACCGCCAACCGCACCTACTACGAGGACATGATGCAGGAGCTACAGACCAGGATGCAGGGTGGTATCCAAGACACCATGGAGACCCGCATCGTCCCTTACCTGGAGCGCATGGGCGATCGCATCGTGGAGGGTGGACGTCCCTTCTTCGGCCGCGTCATGGACATCCCCGACAGGGAGGAGCGTCACTCTTTCCTGGAGGAGTTGACCAACGAGTTGGACATGTCCAGTCTGGAGAGGTTGTATGGGAGGATGAAGCAAACCATGTGCGGAGTTAAGAATACCATGTCTGCTGCAGTCTCGAAGGCCATGTTTGCTACCTGCCCCCGTACCTGGATGCCACCATACGGAGGTAAAAACAATTTCTTATCATCTAGTCAGAGCTAGAAGGGCTTTAAACTCTTTCTCATCTTACACAGAGTTTAAACTCTTCTGGCTCCAAATGCATGTAGAAGATATGATCTGCAGAAGCGATTATAGGCTCTTGTTAGTGAACATGTCTATTTGCATTTTAGTAATTTACACCAAATGCCTGATGATGATGATGATGATGATGATGATGGAAGAAGCCTACTCATTTGTGGAATTTCTCTCATGTCGTATCCTTTTCTTCCAAATACCTTGTAGCTAATGCTCTGGTCATTGGAGCCCAGCACTACATGACGTTCGACAAGCTATTCTATGACTTCTCTGGAAAGTGCGGCTATCTCCTAGCCAAGGACTTTGTCCACGAGAACGACTTCTCAGCCATCGTCGACTACGAGCGCGACATGGAAATCCCCATCAGGAACATGATGTTCATGATCGACTCAAGGACCTTCGAGATCAAGTCAGATGGCACAGTAAGAATCCTTCCTTGTGTCTCTTTGTGGTCCTTTAAAACAATTCATCCAACAGATGCTTCGGTGACATATTCTATTCATCGAAAATATAGGGATATGTTTTGGAAAGGGTTTTAATACAGGATAGGTTGGTATGATGCTGGGTCCCAGGTAAAAATTGTCACTCGTTAGGAAAAACGGTCAACCTCCACCCAGACCTTCTCCATCTTCTTTCTTCAAGCCTTGCTCTCTTCTCATGCAGAGGTTTCCTAGTCCTTTTCAGGACTAAGCTTATTCAAGAAAGAGTAGTCTCCAATTTTTCTCCTGCAATTTAGTTTACAGTACCGGTAGTCCTTATCTGCAGATGAAGCATGAAAGAAAGCTCCCATCATTTGATTACTTATTTATTCTCTTATTTAAACATATTTGTGGCTTACACCCAGTACATTTATTCTCATTGCAACCCAACTGTCCTTGTCATGACTCTGACCAGTGAAACAAAGAGGTTTCAGAGTACCATGTGAACATTGAATTTATCTAACCAGTCTGAAAATTATCTAGATCTTACAAACCTGATGGTCCTCCACAGGCAAGGGATTTTTGTTTAAGGAAGGTACTTGTAAAGAGAAGTCATGTATTATTTAATTTATTTGTACATTTATTGTAGTGATATAGGATGAGGTTTTATCATAAAATCTTATGTTTATCAAAATACTTCCATTGTTTTTGTTTTTGTATATACCTTTGGAATTTGTGATGTACTTCTGGTAATTTGAAGAATATGTGCTAGTGGATGCGACGAAAAAGGAGCTGTCATCTAAGTATCCAATTTGAAATAAATTTTGTTTTCTATAAAAGGTGCGTGTTGACCGCCAGGCTCGTGAACTGCCACTCCAAGTAGGTGGTACTGCCATTATTCGCATCGGGGATAGCATCTTCCTGAAGAATGCTCAAGGTGTTGATGTCATGTGCAAGTTGCCTCATGATGTCTGTGTCTTGAAGCTGAGTGGCCGATACTTTGACAGAACTGCTGGTCTCCTTGGGAACTTCAACTTCGAATCTTATGATGACCTTAAGACCCCAGGTACTGTTTTAATCACTTAATTTTACAGCCAGCTTTTGTCTACATGTAGGAAGATTTCAAGCCTTTTTAACAAAAGGAGTGTACACAGCCCATATAAAGTCTTTTGACAATGAAAGCTGGTCTTTTTTTTTGATAAAAGGTGGGGTCATGAATGGTAATATTAGATATCATGGAAGTTTTGTTTTGTACCAAAATTGATTTAGTGAAACAGTGAAAAATTGAGCAGTATTAAACTAGATTTTCTCACAATATCTCTCTTGTGATATCTTTGTTTATTTGTTGCTCGGACCAGAGTTTGCACATGTATTGGTTTGGTGAAATTTGGTAATTAATCATATAAAATCTTCAGATTTCCTGGGTAGATGATGATAATGGAAGAAAATTACTTGACACATGAGCATTTTGCTTATGAAATGTCGAGATGCTCAGCCTGCCCAACAAGGTCATTTATGTAAAAATGTCATTCTCTTGACATCGCATGCTCCCATACATCTCACCTACATTCTCTCTCTCTCGCTCTCTCTCTCCCTCTCGCTCTCTCTCTCTTTCTCTCTCTCTCTTTCTCTCTCTCTCTCTCTCTCTCTTTCTCTCTCTCTCTCTGTCTGTCAATACAACATCGTGTACTACAAGCAAATCTCACCTACATTTTCTTAATCTCTCTCTTTCTCTCTCTCTCTCTCTCTCTAGGCAATGAGGTCCAGACCAACATCACCGCTTTCACAGAATCCTGGAAGGTCGGCAAGAACTGCATCCAGTCCGAGGCTGCAACCCTTGACCTTAACAGGGTCATCCCAACCATGGATGCTATCGTGAACTTTGACCCCCTACACCCTGACAACCAGGCCTGTGCCAGTATGTTCCTCGACAACTGCTCTCCTCTTGCCGGTTGCCATGGCGGAGTAAGTGACACCTAAGAAATATCATTGTCCGTTTTTTATATCTAGCATATCACATGTAGAATGTCTCTATGCTTCTCCAAAGTGCTTTGGAAGTTATTACCCTATATACATTACTTTTATGAGATTCCATTTAATTAGAATGCAGTATCACAAATCTATTGGTTCCCCAGTTTCAATGAGAAACCACTTTCAAGGGAAACAAAAATTGTGGTCTTTGTAGACAGGTGGTCAATAAAGCAGGGTTTGACTGTAGATGTAGATCTTTTACCATTGGTCTTGTGGTTCTTACCCTGCCTTCAGGTCGATCCGGATTCTTTCTACAGGATGTGCATCCTGGACACACGTAACCTGCCACAGGAAGAGCGACACAGCAAGATGTGTAGCATCGCTGTCGCTTACAAGACCCAATGCTGGTTCTCCAAGCAACCTGTGCGCATGCCTGACGAATGCAGTAAGTCCTCTAGGCCTATCCCATTAGAATAGTTTCCATGCAAGCAATGCTTTCATTTAACAACGAACATTGGACATGCAAAAGTCATATAGAATATACATGTAAATGTGCCTAATCAGTGATAGAAATATGTCTTAGATCAGGAAAACAAATGCTTGTTTTACAACTTTGTAGTTCTATGCTGAATATTTACATGCCATTATTTAACATTTTTTGTGTATGAAAGATAATTGAAAAACTTATAAGGAATACTTTCAATATGAGATGACATCTATCACATAGTGTTATGAGGCCTCCTTTTATTTTCTTACCATTTCAGGATAAGAAAGATATTTCATGAGATTTAAGGAAAGGGGGATTTTTAGTGTGATTTACACCATTCTTTCATCTGACTCACTACACGTGTTATCAACATGTTACGTGACTCATCTTAGTCCTGCAGTAAACCTACATTTTCCATCCTCTTTCTTCATTTTAAATCAGTCATTTGTGAGGTTGGAGATGAGTCCTTCCAAGCTGGCAAGCCAATCACAATCGAGGGAGAGGCCGTTCCTCGCCAGGCTGATATCGTGTTTGTTGTGGAACAGAAGCAGTGTGCGGAACAGGATGCGCAAAAACTTGACAACCTTGTTGTCAGGTTGGCTGGAGATCTCCAAGATGCTGGTGAGTAGAGATTTGTTATCCTTACCTTACCCCCCCCTCCCCTCTCTTGTTCAGTCTAGCAAAAATCGTTGTGTGATTAACTCTTATGTAGCACTCTATTGTGAAAGTGGAAAATGCCCTCAATATTCAGTTAGACTAAAAGGATCAAAGCTCAAAATGAAAGAAAAAAGAGACAACCAACTTATTCAGCCCAATGCCTAATTGAAGCAAATGGTTGCTGTATAAAACTTTTGAGAATGAGATGTTGCAGTATTTAATGGGTTTACACCTAACGATATGATCATATTCAATCCAATCTAGTCCACAGATTATTAGGTATAGCGTCTATTCATTGCAGTTACATAGTGCTCACAATTTATTCAACAATAATATACACACATGTATAATACATGAGGGTCACAGGTATTGTTTCTAGGTTAGGGGTGCCTGTTTTCATGCTCTAACTCTTCTTATTTTAGGCTTTGTAAGCATTCATGTAATGGGCACCAAATACATATATAAAGTGACCAAATTCTTAAGGTCATGATCATCTGGTGTCCATGCTTCAAGTATCCATCTTTTCAAGTGGCTTTTTCCATGATACTACCGATAATCAATCTGGTATGAAAATGATGTTGCTAATTCTGAAATTGAAACCTATTTTATTTCAGGTTTTGAGGACACTCAGTTTGGTCTTGCTGCCTTTGGTGGTTCAGGAGTCTATGATGCCGCTCACCAGCACACCATCAACCACAAGATCTTCAACGACCGGGCCCGTGATTTCACACTGGGACGCGACTCACTCGAGTTTACCGATGGCGGAAGCAATGACACCTTCGCTGCCGTCAAGCTTGCTGCTAACTATCCATTCCGCACCGGAGCTGCTAAACATATCGTCCTTCTCTCTTGCTCTGAATACACGGAGGAAAATCCAAAGGTAGGTTGTCTCAATGCTGTGGCACCGTGTATCTCCTTCGTAAAGACATTAATCTACATCGGCCATTCTCCACCCAGGTGTAGTCAATGGGTACCTGGTAGGAATTTATTCCTTGAATGCTTTCAGTGCTTGTAAGGTAGCTGGGCTAAAACCAGGTTGATAATAGTACCTTGTAGGTGTCTTGAGCATCCTCTGGGATGGATATGTGTGCAATATGAAAATAACTCTGTATCATCGTTATTACTATTATTAGTGGTATTAGTAATAGTAGCAGTAGTTGTGATAGTAGTAGTAGTAGCAGTAGCAGTAATCAGTAGGAGTAGTAGTGTTAGGAGTAGTAGTGGTAGGAGTATTGTAATTTTTACTATCATCATTATTATTTTTATTGTTGTTGTTTTTACTATTGTTGTTATTATTAATATTTGTATTATCCATTCTAAGTGACATGATACCTTAACACATGTCCTGTCTCTTCCCTCTCCTTTTCTCCCATTGTAGTTGAGTTTCAAGGAGCTGTCTGTCATGCTCCGAAAGCGAGCCATCTCCCTCACCATCCTCATGGACTATCAGTTCAGACTCAACAAAAAATCCAGTGCCTCCAAGTCCAAGTCTAAGACAGAGCTAGTCTATGGTAAGTCACTTCTGTTGTATTGTGGGTTGGAAATCATTACAATAGGCTGAAACTAAAATGAGTAGAAGACAACTAGTAGAGATTGCAGAAAAGGGTGTGGTTTGTACTATGGTTGGTTGCAGACCCCTGCATATCAATTATGTACATGTACAAGTTTGGCATGTGCTTTCATACACGTAGCGTTCTTTATTATTGAATATCACATTGATTGATGAGGAACATGAAAAGTGTATAGTTTGGTTCGAATGCATTCATGATAAACATTGCAACCTCCTTTCCATTTACTGTTGGTAGTTGAAACTGGTCCCAGCTCTTTATATCTTTTACCCTAATAAAACAAAAAACTTGATACAAAACAGTAATTATCCATGGTTCAGATTTCCTCATTATTACAAGTTTCCACTGTATGACAATCTGTCTGGCAGGTATTGATTCCACGGCAACATACACCAGCAAGATGTCCGGTCTAGAAGCCTTCAAGGGATCCGCCACCCTCCGTCAGTTCACCGACGAACCCCGTGGTGTCAACGCACTTCTTGCCCAGGAGTCCGGTGGTGCGATCTTCGATAGTAGCATGCTCAGCGACAAGGGCTTCAACGATGTCTTCGTCAAACGCCTGGTAATGAAGAGCGAGCCGGCCGAATGCCAGGTCTGCAGCTGTGTCCATGATGATCTGGTCGGTGTTGGACGTTCCGTGTGTGAAAAGTGCTCAAATCCTCTCAACGTGTTCGGAGAGGTATGTATTAACAAAAATTCTTGTTTTTCGTGAACCCTTTACTTACTGAAACCGGGGGCTCCCTGTATGTAAGCCAATGGGAATGAGAGAATTCAGTAGGCAAAATATTTGGTTTTCTTAAAGCCCCACTGTACTACTTATAGCTACTTGTGCCCTCTATATAGCCAACAATGCCTAACCGGTGACCATTGGTCCCCCATGGTTCCCTTTTTCTTATGTTATTTGAGAGCTGACTTGATGAGATAACCACCTGCCAGTGACCACGCTGGGTGGTCTAATCCCTCCTGGCCAAAATAGTGCAGAGGGGCTTAATAGGGGTCTTGTAACTTCTTAACCAAATTGTCAGGGTATTTCCCTTATTTACATGTAGAAAGATCAGAGGAGAAAATTCTCTGAACATCATCCTAAAGATAGTGTTATTTACTTGCATGCCATCCAATTCTTTGCACCTACTTTTTTTGTAACAACAATCTTATCACTTATTAGCCTGTTTTCTTTTTCCAAATTGTCATAGTTTGATAAACTTTCATTTGTCCAGATTCATGAAAGTTTCATGCCTTAACTTGAATCACAACTCAGAAATTTGTAGAAGTATCTAACCTTAAACGATGGCCATTTCTAAATAGTGGCATGTATATATGTGATATCGCAACATGTATGGACATAAGTTGATGAGATTTTCTCTCGCTTCTTTTGCAGGAAATTCGAGCCGGGGTGCGTTCCTTTGAACTAAAATACCGTCTACCACACCATAGGTATCCTGACCAAATTGCAGAGGAAGAAGAATAAACCTAATCCATGTCCACCCATATGGACTACCTATGCATTAGACTATTCTTCCTTTTGAAGTTGATAACCGTGATGTAGATACTTCACTAACAAATGTAGATACAAATCTTGCTAGGAGGGAAATTGGGATGTATCTTTGGAAAGTATCAAGAAAGTAGATTGTAGTATTTTTTTATGATGGTAATGGAAAATTATTCAGCATTTCTGCAAGATTATTCAGCAGCAGATGAGAGGGAGTGTATTGTATAAGAGCTGAGGAATTGTCAGCCTTTTGTTTTATTTTTGTATTAACACATCAAGAGGCAAAGCTGCCTAAGTATTTAAAGATGTACTAGATTCATTTCAAATTCACTTCAGATTAAGCTTCAGCCTGATATTACAGACGGCTTCAATTTTTCCAAGCGCCTTTTATAGCAATCTGATATCACTAAACTTCTTTACATATACCAACAAATCAAGTTGGCCTCGCCTTTTTTATAGTTTGTGCCCTTTATGGCTATTTTGATTTATGATGATGATATAATAATATAAGATGAAAAGTTTAGTCCAGTGGTTGATTTATGTTATATTGTAAAATGATGTACAAAATTTTGCTGTGTGATTCATGTAATTAAATGGTGTTGATGCGGACAATGCAATTTTCCTTCTTTTTTTTGTTTTTAAATGAGAATAAGAGTGACCGTGAGTTTGTGTATGTGACATGCAGTATTAAAACCTTAACCATGTTTCCTTTTTGTAATCTTTAAGTGGGTGTTTAGTTTATTGATAACTGTAGTAACAACCGCTGTGGAGGATGCGATGCTTTCATTATGTGCAGCAGTAGATATGCTAGATATCTGAATTAATTATATTCAGTTATGTGTTTGCGTGTTCCTCACAAGCTACTTCTAAATGTTGCCCTAGATTGATTCCCTACCAACTGTGCTGCAATAAGGTTTAAAGAGCTGTCTTAAATCAGTAAAGAATACACAAATTGAGAGAAGATTCTTAACTCAAATACATTATCTAAGGCAGTCAAGTGTATTGAAAATTCCTTTGGACAGCAACACACTTTTGGGAAGTGCACATTTATAGTTTGTAACATTCCTCATTTGTTAACAACCAGAACAGTATTAACTCTGTGTAAAGTACATTAGTTAATGCTCTTCAGGGCCTCTGCATACGATACTTCCTTTATACAGATTCTCTCATAACACTCTGGATCAAAACTAAGTAAGAACCACCAGTAAAAAAACAAATTTGTTCTGCATTTTTTGTTTCTTCATCAAATTCTTTACATCATATGAACTCTATGCAAAACAACGTGTATGTCAAATATTTACTATGTTCTTAATCTCCATACATGTGCGTGGTATGTCTGATAATAAGATTATAATTATGTGCCCTAATATGAAATATTGTGTTGATCATATGGTATTTTATTAAAAATTTGTTTTATGAAAGTGGATTAGAAGTGTTTGTTTCTATCTATGAATTCTATATCAGTGTTCATAAGTATTAAATCTAAATATGGGTTATTTTTTCAAATGAAGGGTTTTTGATAAGAGTTGTGTATGACAAGACCCTTGTTATTATAAAGAGATGTGTTCAGGGTGAAGGGAAGATGGAGAGGGAGACTAAAAAAGGTAGATGGAGAGAAAAGGGTAGAGAGAGGAGAGAGAAAAGGGTAGAGGGGGAGAGAGGAAGAGATGGAGAGAGAGAAAAGGGTAGAGGGGGAGAGAGAGAGAGAGAGAGAAGAAAGGTAGAGGGAGAGAGAGAGAGCAAGAAAAAAGGGTAGAGGGAGAGAAAGGGAGAGAGAGAGAGAGAGAGAGGAGAGAGAGAAAAGGGTAGAGGGAGAGATAAAATGGTAGAGGAAGAGAAATGGCCGGAGAGAGAGGGGAGAGATGGAGAGAGAGAGAACAGGGTAGAAGGGGAGAGAGGGTGAGAGAAAAAGGTAGAGGGAGAAACAGAGAGAGAGAGAGAGAGAGGGTAAAAAGAAAGGAAGAACAATAGAATGAGGGAGGGAGCGAGGTTGAAAGGTCAAGAGGAAGGGAAAAGGAGAGAGAGAGAGAGAGAGAGAGAGAGAGAGAAGAATAAAAAGTTTGGGGAGAAATTAAGAAAGAAAGAGGAATTATCTCATGATTTTATCCGCACTTACGAATAACGGTTTCGTGAAACGCTGCCCTGGACATCGAATACCAAAATAAATTTAAAAATTAAAATGTTAAATTTCTCTTTTTTTCCTTGAGCTCTGTGCCACGACATCATTTAAACTTTGCTGACAACGGAATATGTGCGTATGCGGAGGCGCTCTCTCTAGGTGGATAAGATGTTTAAAAAAATTACCACTGAGGGGGGTGGGGGTGTAGGAGGGGTCGCCTACACCGTTTTCCTTTCTTTCACGTTGCCTTTTCTGCCTCTGTCAATTCACCCCATCCCTCTACCCCTTTCTCTCTTTCTCTCTCTCTCTCTCTGCCTCTATCTCTTCACTCTCTCTATCTATTTTCCACTCTATTTTCTCCTTTTTTTCACTCTCATTAGCTCCCTCTCTCTCTCTCTCTCTCTCTCTCTCTCTCTCTCTCTCTCTCTCTCTCTCTTTCTCTTTGTCAGTATATTGTCTTTGGGGCATACGATTGGGACTCTTTTGTTTTAATGGTAAATACATTTCATTAAAACGACGATTAGATGACCACGACACCGATTTTAATGTCAAGGGCCTTGGTAATAACCTTTTTAATTGAATTTGTCTCTTATATGGAATTGTTCCTCAAGTACAATTTTCCAAGCAGATGCATACATAAACAATTTGCACTCTCCACTTAATTTAAAAAGAAAAGAAGAGAAGAATAATTAAGCTGGATAGCACCTTTAAATTTACCACCTAAAATGTGTACCTTATAGTTTTAATTTCTGTTTCCTGATCCAGGTCGATTTACAAACCCCTTTCATAAGCCATGACATCAAAAATCAACCTTGTCAATCTAGCTGATACAGAATTTTGTTTTGTCGCAGTTCAGGGAAAAGGATAAGCCCCTAGAGCACCCTATTTGATCGGATCGAGAAATGAATAAAAGCAGATTCTACCCTCCCCCCCCCCCATCCCCGTTTGCTTTTTCATTGCTCTTTGCTCGAACAAAATATATATTTAGTCGAATGAGGTTTTTTTGTCCTGTGATACCTACATGTATTCGTTTTCTTTTAATTTCAATTTAATTTCCAGGCAATGACTCCATTTTGCCACTGAAAAGTAATATTGACAAAAATCATTGTAATTTAATCAACTAAACGTATGGGGAAAAAGAGAGGGTGACAGAGAGTCGGGGAGATATAATCAATGAGAAAGTGACAAAGATGTTGTATGTATTTGTTTTCTTCTTCAAACGGTCACTTTATACAAAAGTGTTGTATATTAGCTAGATAGCGCATTGCATTACGATGTGTATGCGAGGCACGGATGATACATGCCCCAGCCTTCCACCTTCATTTAAAGGAGAAAACAAAGAAAGAAGTGGAAGGGGAGAGGATGGAAAGAAAAGTGAAAAGATGATAATAGGACCCTCTCCCCGATCGGTATAACTTGTTAATTAGCATTCCATTCTCCTTGTGTAAGACACTACCAAAATCAGGACCTTGAATCCGATTACGTGGTCCCGAAGCGATTCACAAACCACTTTTATTTTCCAGGTGCGTGACGGAATACCCTTGATTGACATAACAATTAGTCCAGCCTCTGTACCGTTTTCGTTTAGCGCACCCAATCAGCTGATAAAATAACACACCCTCAACGTTGAAAGTAGACCTAGCCTTTCCTCTAAATCTGGGTCTGGGTCTAAATCTGGGTCCTGTTCGTGTGGACGGAAATTTGGGGATTGCGCGATCAGTGGAGAGACCGCGCTGGGGATAACGAGAACGAACGGACTGAATCTGGACTACATCAATCCCCCCTTGCCTTTTGCCAGCTCCATTTCCGAGTAACCTACCATGGGCGGAAACCTCCGGAACAACCTAATTAAAATAATGAAACTTACTGTTCTAGCCAGTTCTGATTGCCAAGTTGTTTTCCGGGGTTGAACAAAATATATAAAAGCTTCGCTTAACATAAAACATTTTATTAAGAAACAGTATTCGATCGAATCAGTATTATACAGAGAGAGTTGGTTGCTTGTTGACTTTCGCTGATTGTCGAGAAGACTTCAGACTTAGCAATACTACACTCCAAAAAGGGTTCCAGAATTCCGCTCACACTGTCAAGGTATATATTTTATTTTTCATATATTGTATAGAGCTACGACCTCTGTAAACAATATAATACTGATTTCTATAATTCCTGATGTTTTACTGTAGTTATTTCTTAATATATATGCACATAATTACAAACTAACAATACAGTAAGTATTACTGTAGAGGTCGCGGTTAGCAAATGCCATTAAACTTTATCTTCTTTATCTATGTGTTTTCGCAAGTGTATAATCATGTCCATTTCGTTCATTAGCCGTCGCAGGTACCTAAATATTGTTTATTTTCTGTATATATGTAAACAAGTTATCTAGCCAATAAAATCTTCTTTTTACTATTCTCTATGTGAATATCTTTCATGACCGCTGGCATGCGAAGAGCAAACAACAAAACAAAGTCGAATGTCTTGACAAGGTCTGTTTTAGTCTGTTATGATACCTTTGGTTCTATGTACATGTATTATCAATGATGAAATTATTGAACTTGGAATGTAATGTGAACATTATGTATTCACCATTATGCTTGTTTCATTTCAGGTTTCCGCGAAACAATGATGAAAGTATTTCTTCTCACGTTTGCATACATTGCAATGGCCGGGGGATGCGTGACTGGAGGCCGGCCATCGTGGGAGCTGGGTTGCAGTACATGTCGTGTGAGTTTTATTCGGCTTGCATCCTAGGGGTGGTACTATGAAGATAAACAAGGGGTGCATCCCCGTCAAAGCCCAGTGTGGGTATTTTTGTCAGTACAGATAATTTTATTTCCTTTCAATTAATCGAAATTGTATTTTGATGCCCATTTCCCCTCCACTCAGCACATCTTGTTTAGATATTCACACTATGAAATCTGTCACGCGAAGTGCATCCCCCCGCTCCTCCTGTTAATTGATACAGCTGCACTATTATTCTAGAGTAAGGATTTTGAAAACTATTTTGAGATGCATGCTGTTTGCATTTTTTAAATTCATATCTTTAAAAACTATAGTACAGGTTCGTTAAAACCAAAGCTACATTAAAAAAATGTTGTTTTTTTTCGTTTACGTTATTATTCTCACTTTGTGCTGTTCATATAACCACCTTTTCCTTTTCTTTCTCTCTCTCTCTCTCTCTTTCCCCCTCTCTTTTTCTCTGCCCCCTCTCACCGCTCCCCCAACTCTCTCTCCTTCTCCCATATCTCTCATAATCCCAATCTCGTCTTTTTTCTAATCGTTTATCCACTCTTTCGTTTTATTCCTTTCTGTGTTGCTCTCTCTCTTTCTTTCTCTCTCTCTCTCTCTCTCTCTCTCACACACACACACACACACACTCTCTCTCCTTTTTTCTCTCTCTCTCTCTCTCTCTTTCTGTCCTCTTGTGCCTACCTGTTCTATTTTTTTCTCTCTTCCACTTCCTCCCCTCCATCTGCCCCTTCTGCCCGCCTTTCAGGGAACAAGCGGGGGATCAAGCCAGCCAGGGTGAGAGCAATTATATATATTTCTAGTAATAATTATGATAATATTTTTGAATGTACATAGAGCATTCGAACATCAAAAATGCAATGTACTGTGTTACTTCAAACAAGAAAAACCGTCGAGTCTACATGAGAAAAGCTTACCCCACTAGCATTAAAGGGCCACTATAACCAAGACGGGCTAAAAAAAAATGAAAAAAAGACATGTATAATAATTTATGACGGAGATTCCGAACATGACAATGATTTTTCTTAGAAATCATCAACAAATCTGGAATCTAGCTTTAAAAATGACGACTCAGAACGCGCTCAGGAAAAAAAGAAAGCCCAGCTTCGGAGCTGTATTGCCCAATAGAATTTGACGTCACTGCAGGAGACTTTATCCGAAAAAATAATATGCAATTGATAATCCCAGTACGTTTCTGGCAATTTCGTCATTCCTTATTATGAATAACAATGAGATTGTAAGATCCTTAAGCCCCTTTCACACCGGATCTGCGTAGAGTTGCGTAGTGTTGCGTACCGACTACGCCGAAGTTAAGCTGCGTACTCATGAATAAATTAATGCTTCGGCGTAGTCTCTGCGTAGGTTATGCGCAGGCTTGCGTACGATGGCGTATAGTTACGTACCCTGTGCGTAGGCACCGCGTACCTACGGCGTAGGCAAGTGGCGTAGGGTTGCGTACGCTTGCGTAGGCTTGGCGTAGGGTTACGTACGCTTGCGTAGGCCTGGCGTAGGGTTGCTTACGGTTGCGTACGGTTGCTTACTGTGTGCGAAAATGC